ACAGAAATTTAGGCAGAACCTGCAAGAATCACTTGATTACGACTATTGTATCACAACCCAATCTTTCACCCATCGCTTCATCATATGAACCTGCAGTGGCCCTGCGCAGCGACCAAGTGGAGAAGTTGCTGCTCATTCTTGTGAATCTCGTCGATATTTCTGATGCTGATGAAGAACTGTTTCATTCTGTGACTCAACAACCTCCAACTCGAACGCTCGCTTGAACCTTCTGGTTTTTCGCTCCGATCTCTCTCCATGATTCAAAACTTCAGTTCGCCATGACCCTGCAACTGCTGCGCAGGGACAACGGAAATGATACTCATTCTTGTGTAGTCGTATGTGGTCAAAACCCCTAGTACTTGTCGTGGTCATCCGCCACCACAGCTTTCTTTAAAGTTTCGCTCTCATGTGACATTCACGACGATATCGATCGAGTTCATCTGTGGCATACCCAGACGACCCTGTACTCCCTCGCCTCTCGGAGACCAGGAACAGTACTTGTTGACGAAGCTACTGTAACGGTACCAACGTTCTTCAAAGTTCCTCTTCCACCGTGTCCGTGTCCCTTGCACCTCATCCAACATTCGCTCGATGAAGAGGATCACTCCCGAGTTCCCCACGCTACTCTTTGATGGAAAGTACCGTACAGGCAGTAATATGAGTCCTCTTTATCTTTGTCGCCCCTTTTTTCACTTTCATCACAACGCGCTTTCCCGTATGACCTTGGGCTTCACGGTGCGTTCCATCTTCTTACGGCCTCCCAATATTGATCATCAACAGCAATGACTCGGATCGCTAGTTTCGATAGCCTCTTGAACTCAGGCTTAGTGGGCGACGAGCAAGACTAGGCAGGGTCAATCATTTTTAGATAAGTTCAGACGTCTACATTACTCGAGCAGCGGAAAATTTGTCCGAAAACTGCACTGATCGACTATGCCACTGCGAATTAGGTATTGCATCATCAAGCACGATACCAGAGCGAAAGCAGAAGTATGACCCACCGACGTGATATACCGCTCGGGCTTCCGGCTCAATTTTCATTCTGCCATCTGGTATACAGAACCTCGAAGGTTCATTACCCTGAGTCAAAGGTGTCATGTGGTTGAATCCTGGTTGCACAGCAACCTGCTCATACTCACCTCACAATAATAGAATACGCAGCAATCTTGATCTGTTTTGCAAGGTCCATACTCAACACCGCATGCACTGACAAACATAGATGTTGTCAAAGTAACGGCAGCAGCAAGGAGGGAGAGACGCATTTTGTGTGTGAGGTGATATGGAATCTTGTGAAAGAAATCTCGAATGATATCTCTGAGATGGGGAGACACTGTAGGCCAATAACGAGCTTTTATATCCTCATGAGCATGATTTTCGATTTGGCAGAATTGTGTTAGTTCTCTCTAAATACGCTCCACTCTTTGCAATTCGAAAATTCTAGTTGCTGCCAGACAATTTTAAATATTCTGTGACTTGGCGTCCGCTATAGATAGTAATACAGCGCATGCAGCCTTCATTATTCCTGCGCAACACCGGATAGCTCATTCATAACCAAACACCGGGTTCTTGTTCTTGTGATCAGAACCACGAGTATACAATTATAAATAGGCGTACACGTCTAAGTCCTGGTTTTTCACTCCGAGTCCGATCTCTCTCCCATGATTTAAACCTTCGATTCCCCATGACCCTGCAACTGCTGCGCAGGGACAACGGAAATGATACTCATTCTTGTGTGGTAGTACGTGGTCAAAATTCCTAGTACTTGTCATGGTCAGCTTCCTTTAAAGTTTTGGTCTCCATCTGACATTCAGAACGATATCGATCGAGTTCATCTGTGGCATACCCAGACGACCCTGCACTCCCTCGCCTCTCGGAGACAAGGAACAGTCCTTGTCGACGAAGCTACTATAAAGGTACCAACGTTCTTCAAAGCTCCTCTTCCTCTTCCACTGTGTCCATGTCCCTTGCACCTCATCCAACTTTCGCTCGATGAATAGAATCACTCCTGAGGTCCCCATGCTACTCTTTGATTGAAAGTACCGTGCAGGCAGTAATATAAATCGTCTTTATCTTTATCCCTGTCGCCTCCTTTTTTCACTCTCATCACAACGCGCTTTCCCGTATGACCTTGGGCTTCACGGTGCGTTCCATCTTCTTACAACCTCCCAATATTGGTCATCAACAGCAATGACTCGGACTAGGGCTCCGTGAAAAACTACCCACGGAGTTAACGACGAGTTTTTAACTCACCCCCACCCTCGAGGGGTTTTTGACACGAGTTAAAAACTAGTTTTTGACAGACTCAAAAAATGCGTTTTTTCAGGTCATTTTGACATTTTTTCGCTACGGTAATGCAAATGCCCACTGTACAGGCCCTCCCGGAGGCGTTGGAACTGTGCTATCCTGTAGTTGAGGTGTCCTGCTTGCCCCTTCCACCGGCTTCTCTGATAGTAAGTCCGACAATCGAGGAGCATCAAGATGAGCATCCTCGCTACCCACAAGTACTCTCGTATCACAAGACCTGTACATTGGATCACGCTCAATCTCTGGGTCCTCGCTCTCCTCCAACCAATTGTCCTCCGAGTCTGAATTAGAGTCCTGCGGCTGGTGCAAATGTGACCTCGAGCACATTATTCAGTGCGGCTTCGGTACTGCCATAGAGTTCGACCCTCTCCGGATCTGGAGCATAGTGCTCAAAATTATATTTGGAGTTTCCGAGGGGGATACTATGTGGAAGTTGTGCGAGTGCCTTTCGGAGGTGGCTCAACTGTGCGTTGTTGCGCCCAATGTCCTCGAAGAAGCTCATCAAGGTAAATTTTTGTTGCAATCATTGAGCCGATTCAGCCGAACGCTCAATTGGACGGTAGTTGACAGATCGTCGGTCATATCTTAACGATTTTTCGGTGATTTCGGATGTTCGGATGGAGAATTCAATAGGCTATGTTCCCGAGATCATATACATATATATTTTAGTTTTTGACACCCCAATATCAACCCCGAGTTATCGACTCGTTAAAAACACGTTAAAAACCTGTCAAAAACTCCAACGTCAAAAACTCAGTAGTTTTTCACGAAGCCCTAACTCGGACCGCTAGTTTCGATAGCCTCTTGAACTTAGGCTTAGTGGGCGACGAGCAAAACCAGGCAGGGTCAATCATTTTTAGAAAAGTTCAGACGTCTACATTGCTCGCCGAGTAGCAGAATATTTGTCCAAAAACCATACTGATTGACTATGCACTGCGAATTAGGTATTGCACCATCACCAAAGCGGAAACAGAGATATGACCCACCGACGCGATATGCCGCTCGGGCTTCCGGCTCAATTTTCACTCTGCCAGTCACCCTGATATACAGAGCTTGGTCGAAGACTGAGGCAAAGGTGTGTCATGTGGTTGAATCTTGGTTGCATAGTAACCTGCTCATACTCACCTCACAATACAAGAACACGCAGCAATCATGATCTGTGTTGCAAGGTTCATGCTCATTACTGCATGCACTGACAAACATAGACGCTATCAAAGCAACAACAACAACAGCAAGGAGGGAGAGACGCATTTTGTGTGTGAGGTGATATGGAATCTTTTGAAAGAGATCTCGAATTATATCTCTGAGGATGTGAGAACACTGCAGGATGACAACCAGCTTTTATATACCCATGGGCACGATTTTCGATTTAGCAGAATTGTGTTAGTTTTCTCTAAATCTCTTCGTAACGCTCCACTCTTTGCAATTCGGAAATTCTATTTGTTGCCAGACAATTGTATTCTGTGACCTGGCATCCGCTACAGATACAGCGCATGCAGCCTTCATCATTCCTGCGTAACACCAGACAGCTCACCAGTACTCATAGCCAAACACCCGGTTCTTGTTCTTGATGATATGAAATCGGTAACCACGAGTATACAATTATACGAGCTCACTTATGTATTGAATGTAGGCACTTCCTTTCGGTCCTGAGCGTGACGAAATATTATGCGCCATATCTGTGAAGAACAATCCACTTACTCTGATCATTATACTGACTCGTTGGCCAGCCTTGATATCACGGCCCGCTTTTAGTACAGAGTGCTTATAGTCATACCGCACGCTGTCCCTACTTTGACTTTTAGCTTCAAGTTGAAGGCATGTCGACTGCATTTGCATTTGCAATTAAACACTACCCGATGGGAGTAGAACCTCGAAGGACTCTTTTAGGTTGCTTGTCGACTCCATCCGTAATACTCTGGCGGCCCTAAGGCTGACACCGAGAACCGAGAATCTCCCCTACGGATGATAGGTGTAGACGATGTGTTTGTATGTTCGAGGTTGGATATAGCCCTTGCAAACGAGCTAGAATGAACGAAAGACCCAGATTCTGATCGGACCGATTTCGAACTCCAGGATGAGTTACATCGCGAGATAGTCGGGGGTGTTTCTGGTGCATTGAACTGAGTGTGCTCGGCTTTGAGGCTGTCTGAACTGAAATAAGAGTCTGTGTTGCTTCATGAGTCCATGGTCAATGTCTTTTTGCAGTACTTGCGAAAATCGCCCGGTAAATTGTCTAAGATTCTGTCATTGGATTCATTCGATTTGGCAGAATTGTGATGGTTCTCTCTAAATCTCTTCGCAACGCCTCACTCTTTGCAATTCGGAAATTCAAATTTCCATCGGACTATTTCATTCTGTGACGTGGCGTCCGCTACAGATACAGTGCATGCAGCCTTCATTATTCCTGCGTAACACCAGACAAGCTCACTAGTACTCATAGCTAAACAACTGGTTCTTATTGATGATCAGATATGCAATTGGTAACCACGAGTATAAAATTATAAATAGGCGTACACGTCTGCTGTTTGAGACGTGCAAGGACCTTGTATGTTGTTCGAGAAGTCTGCGGGACGATCCCCAACTAGATTGTTCCATCTAACAAATAAGAGGCGTATTGTACTGTCAGCAGCTACTTAAGCCATTTTGTGTTGACGTTTAAATTACGATTATATAAGCTAGGAGCTACAACTGAGTTCACAGCGTTACTCTCAAATGTTTTTCATAGGCCTACAAATTCCAGCACACCTCCTTCCAACTATTGCATCAGCCGGAGATTCTGACGGAGACGACGATTACACACTAGCTCTGCCATCCGACCTTACTGCCTCCCACGCAGCTGGGCCTTCGTTGCCCTCAAAGAGCGAATCGAATACTTATACACCGCCTCTAAAACGACACTACGTAGGACCATCATTACCTCTCTCACAAGCTCCTTACGATGATAACTCAGATTGAGATGTTGAGCCTCAACCACTTCCTACAGCTTACACTTCACAAATAGAAGGAACGTCAGGCGTGCAAGAGTTCTTGGAGAGGGAGGAAAGGAGAAGGAAACTTGAGAAAGAGGCAAACAAGTTGAAGAAGCTTCAGCGGGAAGAGTGGATGCTTGTACTTCCAAAAAGTGGCGACTTATTGGCATGTACGTTTCATTCAACACACGGTCCTCTGACTTGTGTACTTATCAAAAGTCATATAGCACTTGACCCGACGAAAGCCAGGCCTCGTCAGTTCGCACGTAGCGCTCCACTTCCCTTTGGACCGAGATGCCAGCGGAAAGACAGCAACGTCTTGCTACGAAGTTGCTGGACGGAAACGACGTGCGGCAAATACACCAGAGGACTCGCGTGCCACAGCAAAGCGAAGGCGACGGGTTGAAGATATTTCAGAGGAGTTGAGGGGCACAAAGTATGTGTCCTTTGACTGTTCGTCAATTTAAATGGAACTTGACGCGTTATTTGCTAGTGCAAGGCTCGTGGTTCAGCCCTTGTAGAGTCACGTCTAGAACGGAAAAGGAGGGAAAGAAGCACAAGCAGAGTGTGAACCCTCCGTTTCCTGGGAATGATATTTCTCTAGGCGGACGGCCTATGGACGATCAACGGAGGCAGAAGATGCTTCGGGATGCCAAAGGACTTCCAGAGCGTTTCGGTAGTGGGTGCAGTGGAAATTTTATGTAAGCTTCTGACACTGCCAAAGACGCTGGAACCTCATCGAGTCTTTGTCGCGGACCGTTGCATCTCGTAAGTTCTACCGTATTTCTTATTCGCAGTATATTTTTCTTGTATGATATGTCTCATGTCGATATCTATATACAGCGCTCGCTCTTGCTATGAAGACATCTGCAATCTCGTCTGGTACAATCGTTGCATCAAAATCATCAACCCGAGTGTCGGAGCAATGCGCTGTTGGGTTCCAGGCGAGGGTTCGAGAAGCTGAGCCCAGATGCATGATGCTACCATCATTCGGGCATCTCAAACTTCTTCCCCATTGCAGGCTCTGCCGTGTGGTCGGATTATTTATGTAAGTATATTTATCTATCTTTCCCTTCGCCGTCTTGCCTGTCTGTCTGTCTTACTTCTGTGATTTTTTGTTTGTAAAATTCATCTGAATCATCTACATCAATATTGCTCGAGCAGCACGAAAATTCGTTCAAAAATGACTACTAATTGACTGTGTCACTGCGACCTGGGTATTGCACCATCAAGCATGATACCAAAGCGAAAGCAGAAGTATGACCCACCGACGCGATATGCCGCTCGGGCTTCCGGCTCAATTTTCACTCTGCCAGTCCTGCCACACAGACCTTATGGGAAAAATCATCCTGAGGCTAAGGTGAGCAGGTGTGTCATGTGGTTGAATTCTGGTTGCACAGCAACCTGCTCATACTCACCCCACGATACTAACATATCCAGGGCTAGCAGCAATCAAAATAAAATTTGCAAGGTTCTAAGTGGTTCTTGCATGCGCTGACAAACATAGATGCTGTCAAAGCAACAACAACAGCAAGGAGGGAGAGACGCATTTATGTGCGAGATGATATGGAATCTTCTGAGGGAGATCTCAAATGATATATCTGAGGATGGGGAAACGCAGCTTTTATATCTTATGGGGACGATTTTCGATTTGGCAGAGTTGTGCTAGTTCTGCCACAAGGTCCATTTCTAAATCTCTTCGCAACGCTTCAATTCGGAAATTCAAATTCCATTTCTCTATTCGCTGCCACGACTATTTTATTCTGTGACCTGGCGTCCGCTACAGCGCATGTAGCCTCTGCGTAACACCAGACAGCTCACTCATAACCAAACACTCGGTTCTTATTCTTGCTGATCAGGTATTCAATTAGTATTCATACATCTCAATAAACGAGTATAAGATCGTAAATAGGCGTACACGTCTAGCAGGTATTTGAGACGCGCAAGCTGTTCCAGCAGTCTCCGGGACGATCACACCGCGGTAATCGGTTAGCTAGGCCAATTTCGTTACAACGGCACAATTACATAAGCTAGGGGCGAACCAATGGCACCACTATTATTCAAATCGGCCGCAGTAATAACGAAGGAACATTCTTTGTTTATCTTTGAAATTCAGTTCGTTCAGGTATGATACAATGTTCTATCGTGTGTTTCGAGCTTGCATTTATTTGCATACTAACCAGTACTAGGGGCGCGCAGGCGGACTTATATGGATGAGACATCGCCAACATGATGACAGGTGACTATCGTGTTGTTTAATGCCCTTTTGGTTTTACTACTACGCCCAAGATCAAGGACATCACATCATTGCCTTGATATCATGCAGGCCTCGCACTTTTGGTCTGCAGTATGCAGACTGCCCTAGTAGGAGACGTTCGTTCCTTTATTTCATCGTGTGATCATTAGTACGCGGGACATGCTATCCAAAATTCGATTCTATGGGCGCTCCGTAGCAGATTCGGACCGGTAGGTCTCATTCCATTCTTCATCGCTTACCACATTAACTGGACTTCATTCTTTACGGAATGTAGGTATTAGCATACACTTCCTGTGCCTACGTAGGTCTCCGCATCAACTACACTAATCAGTCAACTGTTAGAGTCTGATCAGCTCCGCGCAAGGTGGCACTGTCTGCGTGCCTGTTGCATATATATAAATGCAGCTGGTCACGCCTGAGCTCTCGCTGCTCTCTGATCTACTCCGACAATGAGTTCTGTTGAATACCACTATCCCGTGATCGGCCGCAAGGGCACTGGAGGCATATTTGATCGCTTACCTATCCAGACGCTGGAGAATGACCATCCCTACCAATTCGCATTATTCATCCTTGCTTTTAATACGATCCAGCAGCGTTCCGATACTCCCAAAGTTGTGGAAGAGCCTGCAGCTACCTTCATGGAAATTGCGTCAATTCACGGCAAGCCTTATGTTGAATGGGCTGGCGACCGCAACAATGACATCTCAGCCGACTATAGTGCCACTGACAAGAAAGATACTAATCCTGTTCCTTCTAGATTTGGAGGTATGACGGTCGTTTCTATCGTTGTTTCCCATAGCCTGACGATATTGTGTGACAGGTTATTGCAAGTAAGTTGACATACATTTCTCTCGCTCCTTTGGTTTGAAACCGTTCTTCAGCCATGGCGCTGTTGTGTTTCCCACCTGGCACCGCCCATATGTTATGCTTATTGAGGTATGTTCAATAGATGATCATGCCTGATGCGTTGTTCAATTGAGTTCTATTGGATTACAGCAATCGATTGGAAACGTCGCTGAAAAATTGGCCCACGACATTGAAGCTGATAACCGGAATGAAAATGGAATATGGATTAAAGCTGCAAAGGAACTGCGTTTTCCGTACGTGCGAAGTCCTTCCAGACGCTGATATAGCCATTTACATTGCATGTAGATACTGGGACTGGGCCAGTAAGGATGTACCCGAGAATGGCCTTCCTCCTGTTCTGTACGAAGAAAAAGTCGAAATCATGGCTGCTGGAGGTAAAAAGCAAATCGTTGATAATCCGCTCTCATTTTTCTCCTATGTCGGCGGAGTTCCATTCGAATTTAGCGACGAGAAGGATGACTCGGTAACGTTGCCTTTTCCTTTCTGGACCACTGATCTTGCTGAAATGTGGTCTGTAGACAGGACAAGTGGCGTATTTCTCCAGGTGGCAGAGGACATACCGCCACGCTTCTAGTACACCAGATCCTGAGGGTAGCCGCATAGACTTGTTGCAAAAGTGAGTATCTACTGAGACATGTTGCGCGAGGCTGGTGATGATTTTCATTTGTAAGGACATTCAAAGCCGGAGCAAATGATCTGAGGCGCAGAGTCGCCCAACTCTTTGCGTTCAGTGATGACGAAAATTCCGCGATAGCGTACGTCTTAGTTTCTGTCAGTATTATATCTATATTGATAAATATGCTGACAGCTGGGACGAGTTCTCTAATCATACCGCGGAATCGAAGAGAGATATAGACTTCATCAACCGTGGGTCGCTTGAAGGTGTGCACGACACTGTTCATTTATCGCTCGTGGGTGGAATACATTTGTTCCAACTTTGACGTATGCTTACTCCAGCGATGTGTTAGGGTGGGAATGGACAAATGGTTAGTTACTTGCGTGCGAGTGAAGCTTGTTAATCTATATTAACCAAATTTGCAGAGTTACCCAGACTACGTGAGCAATTCTTTCTGACCCTCTCCAATGATTTTGGTGCTCATCTTTACATAGGCCGGTTTCGATCCTATCTTTTTCCGTGAGTGAACAGGTGCAAATTACCCGTCTCCATTACTGACGTGGTTTCCTTCAGTTCACCATTCAAATGTGGACAGACTATGTATGTATGATTTCGTTTAAGGGTATTGTCATGTTATTGAATCCCCCAAGTTGCTCTATGGGAGTGGTGCTACCCCGAATACTGGATGGGAAGCGGATATGAACGCGATGGGGAACAGTACCCTTGGACACAGGTATGGCTTGGACGATGCTCACGCACATATATTCATTGGTTGTCTTTTAGGCACGTGGTACGTATGCGCAAGTTTACAACGAACAACTCCTTGCAGACGGGCCGCTTCAACCATTCCGAACGGAACAAGGAGACTACTGGACCTCTTCTCAGGCCCGATTTCTGCATGAGCAAAGCTACCCCAAGTGTACGTAGCAACCTTATGTATTGGATAACATAAATTTACTTCGAATAGATTATTCATTCCTGGAGTTCGAAGGAATTAAGGTCGATCAAGCTGCCACATCATTTCAAGAGCGTGCCTCTGCGCGCAAAAGGGTGCAAGCCTACTATGGTTTTGATCCGCAAACCAAGGCGAAACAAGTGGGCTTGCACGCTTGGAAGCACCTACCTGTTCCAAACAAGGAAGATCCTGCCGTGCCAAGCGATCATACCATTATACCTCACTACCGCACATTCGCTGTACATGTGAAACTTCTGGAGCATGCATACAACCGCTCTTATTCATTCCAACTTCACCATAAAGGGAATGCTCATTCGAGTCCGCAGCTCGTAGGTACCATTTCCGTCTTTGCACGACCAGACCATTCTCCTTGTAAAGCGTGTGCTGTGCGTCGTGAGGCGGGATCCGTAGTCCGCGGGATGATTCCAATTCCTCCCGAGTTGATTGAGAGCATCATCAAATCAAACAGAGGTGGAAAATCTTCGTTCGACCAGACCCTCGCTCACATCAAGGGGGAGTTCGTTGGAAGGCTTGTGGATGCTACTGGCTCAGAGCTTGCCGGGGCTGAGGGAGGGCTGGAGGTGACCCAGGTACCACAACACTGTGCCGCTTCTCGCACAGTTATTCCCATAGAAATTTCTCTGGTGTCGGCCGCTATTGCTGAGCACGTAGAGGACAAGAATCGTCCTGTTCATTTATGTGACTGGCAGCACCACGACAGTATCTTTAACGTAAGGGTATCGTTCTTTATTCTGGCAATTCGCTGAACATGATTTTTGACAGGGTGGCTGGCTGGCGACTCACAAGGATTCGGTGTGATGCGGCGCGCTTGGATGTCGAACTACTTGGATTTGATAATCTAGCCAATTCGCAAAGAATTTAATACATGTATGATATGAATTACTTATCAGAATTCTTTCTTCCCTTCATTTGGTCTTGAGCAGCGATAAATTTCGACTCAGGTAGAAGAAAGTGCGTGAGGCAGATGAAGAGGATAGGCAGAAGTAAGAAGATACAAGGAATGGCTAGAAGAAAAAAATTCGAGTGCAAAAACAAAACAAAAACAAAACGAAACGCGAGGGTAGAATGGTAAGTCAAAAGTATGTACTACCGTGATTCACTACTTTGAGGGAAGGAATAAGGGAAACATATTCCGCTCGCTGCGCATCTGTTATCGTCAGATTCGTCACTTGACCACCGATAGTCAGGGTCTCCAAGGGCCACTTTAACCGTGCCAACAATGCCTTCACATCCTCATGAGACCAAGAAGATGCATTGCAGCTATTGCGGCGAGCTTCAAGCACGCGCAAATTGGGGAGTGATAGAGCATTGAACAGGTCAGATAAAGGGCGCGTGAGCAAAGGGTCATGGAGAATGCATAAGGATTGTAATTTTGTGTGCATGAATGATTCCATGGGTTCTCTTTGGTCAAATCCTACGTGAACATTTAAGGAAGAGAGGTTGGGACATAGCTGAAGCAAATGGAGGAATGCGTTCGGGTGACATACGGCGATCTGGACATCCGTCAAGTAAGCCCATACGGGCCCGAAAGAAGACAAGGGCTCGATGTCGAAAAACGGTCCCATATCAATGAAGAGACTGCGCATAGTGGACGGCAGTCGCGAGATGGATTGTGCAATAGTTGGAATATCATGATTTGTCATCCCTAGTATGGTCAGCTCCTGAAGTGCTGGGAGGTCTGTAGCAAACAGCTGAGGGCGTCTACCCCGGAAGCAATCGATAGAGACTCGAAGAAATTTTATACGACTCATATGAGGCTGAAGAAGGCTTCGTAGCTTGGTCGAGTAGTGGTACCCGAGTTCTAACGAGAGCGGACGTCCTCGTGAACGCTTGAGCCACAAGTCATAGCAGAAAGCTGCCTGCTCCCAGCCTCTGTCGTCGGCTTCCACATATATCCTGCACCATAAATCGGGTGTACCCACAGCAACCTCCCTCCATCGTTGGCATATCCGTGTTAAAAGCATGGGGGCTCTGAGGGTTGATGGGGGCCACACTTTAGTTTCGGGGAGACAGTGGTTAAATATTTGGGATAGGACTTCTGTTGGCAGGCGCCAGAGAGCCGATAGGAGTCCCTTGTGCAAATTCATCGACTGCATAATCTTCTCCTTCTTTTCGACGACTTGCTGACAAAGATTTTTGACGCTATCCATCACGGCCTCCAGATCTGAGATCTCGTCCACAACTGCATCCAATTGCTGCTGGCGCTCAGCGATGCTGACAACGCTATCTATCACGGCCTCCAGATCTGAGATCTCGTCCAGAACTGCATACAATTGCTGCCGGCGCTCAGCGATGATGCTGACAACGTTATCTATCACGGCCTCCAGGGCCGAGAGCTCGTACAGAACTGTATCCAATTGCTGCTGGCGCTGAGCGATAATGTCGACAACGCTCTGGCGTTCGAGCTCGACGGTAGAGTGGTCTGTATTGGGGAATTTGGAGTATGGAGTTTCAAAGACTGGAATCTAGTTATCGTCAGTAACATGACATGTGATATGTCGAAATGGACCAAGGAGCAGACGTACAATCACTTGCGAGCGTGCGAGCTGGAATGGATGATTGTTATTCTCGGCTGACACGAATTCTAATTCAAGAAACTTGGCACTTACGTTGGTTTGTAGTGCACCGATGATATCTGAAACAGAGCCAGAGATATTGAATTCTGAGTGGGGTGTCTGCATGTTGTTCGCTGAGGCGAGAAGCAAAGCTGTAATAGGCTATAATACGAGCAAGTGAGACAAATGGTGTAGGATTGAGTGGTACCTCCAACACGAGTAGATTAGCATCTGTACAACTTGCGAGTACGAATTTTCTCTATTACGTAATAATAACGAAACATGAGCGGAGGAATAAGTATTCAAGTTAGAGTTACAATATTTTTGTGCAATTCTTGTACTTAGGTCAAAATCATGGCCACTGCGCCATTGCTTGCCTTCGCCGCATGAGCTAAACCACAACTAGACGAGGAACTATCATGCATTGAAGGTCCGCTCTTTTCATCGCAGGAGCACACAGCACGTGTCCTTTGAAAGTTTGACTGTTCGTCGATCGGGATGTCAAAGGACTCGCAGAGCGTTTTGGTAGCGGGCGCAGTGGAAGTTTTCTGTGAACCTCATCGAGTCTTTGTCGCGGACCGTTGCATCTCGTAAGTTCTGCCGTCTTTCTTATTCGCGGTATATTTATCTTGCATAATGTGTCTTATGTCGATATCTATATACAGCGCTCGCTCTTGCTACGAAGACCTTTGCAATTTCGTCTGGTGCAATCGTTGCATCAAAATCATCAACCCAAGTGTTGGAGCAATGCGCTATTGGGTTCCAGGCGAGGATTCGATCAGCTCAGCTCAGACGCATGATGCCACCATCACTCAGGCATCTTACATAAATTTCTTCTCCATTGCAGGCTCTGCCTTGTGGTCGGGTTATTTATGTAAGTATATCTGTCTATCTTTCCCTTTCACCGTTTTGTCTGTCTGTCTTCCTTCTGTGATTCAATGGTAAAATTCATCTGGATCATATTGCTCGAGCAACACGAAAATTCGTTCAAAAACAACTGTACTGATTGGCTGTGTCACCGCCAACTGGATATTGCACCATCAATCATGATACCAAAGCGAAAGCAGAAAATGACCCACTGACGTGACATCCCGCTCGGGCTACCGACTATTTCCACTCTGACAGTCCTGGCGTGCATGTATGCTAAGGCGAGTAGGTGAGTGATTGGATCCTGGTTGCACGGCGACCTGCTCATACTCACCCCAACCGGATCACAAATCAAGGAATCGCAGCAATCGGATGTTAGTTTGCAATAGTCAAACTCTGTCGTACATGCACCAACAAACATAGATGTTGTCAAAGAGACAACAACAGCAAGGAGGGAGAGACGCATTTATGTGTGAGATGATATGGAGTCTTCTGAGAGAGATCTCAAATGATGCTTCTGAGGATAGGGAAACACTGTAGGACGACAACCAGCTTTTATATCCTACACTTATGGGGACGATTCTCGATTTGGCAGAGTTGTGCGCATACATTGAACCGTTTCTCGGCGAGTCTGCTCGTGGCACTCTTTGCAATTCGGATATTCAAAATTCTCTATTTGCCGCTGAACTATTCTATTCTGTGACCTGGCATCTACTACAGACACAACGCATGTAGCCTTCGTAACACCAGACAGCTCACTAATAACCAAACACTCGGTTCTTGTTCTTGATGATCAGGTATTCGATACTCAATTAGTATCCACACATCTAAAAAAACGAGTATTGAATCATAAATAGGCGTACACGTCTGCTATTTGAGATGCGCAAGGTAAGCTGTTCCAGCAGTCTCCGGAACGATCCTTGACTGGATCGTTCGATCTAAAACAATACGCAGTCATTGCAAATCCAAATTCTACACCTCCAACTATATGATATCTTGCTCTTCGTTAATCAACGAGAAGTAAACAGAGTTACTACTACTCCACGCGGGTCTGTTCTGAACCATAATGTCTACATTAACAGATTTGTAGATATCGTCTCATACCAGGATGGGGCGACTCAGTATGTCCGGAAGTCTTTGAGTACATCATCTATGTGGTGTCAATTCTGCTGATTGTGTTGCGGTCTTCGATATGGGGGTACTACAAGGTTTCTACTCACAGAACTTCCCTGTTGTATGTACAAATCGTAGAAGGAAAAACTAAACTAAAAGAGGCATTGTTGACTAGAATCCTGATGAAGTTTTCACAGCGTTGGTAAATGTGAGAAAGTGTGGGATTGACATACAATTGGATACGAACTCGACAGCTGCGGCGTCTGCCTCTGAGTCCGACGTAAGATAACCTGCACAGACGCAAGTACCTAAAGTACGTCCTCCATGTCCAGAGTCTGGATACATCATCAATCGCTTGTTCAAATTACGGATACGTGACTCACAGTGAAAGAATAAGCAATCTCCAGGCTGGGCGTCTTTCACTAACCATCGCAACGCGCTAAGGATGTTCCGTCTCGTCGGCATGTACTTCAGATTGTATGGCTCATCTGTGAGCACCATGATGTCCTCTTTCGCGTAATTCCAGAAGGCTGTTACATGGTCGTGTTGCTCAATACTGAGTGAATAAGATAAAATGGATATGGACAGACATTTTAGAAACTCTGCAATGTTCCAAGCGTCATTCACACAGCCACGAAGCTCTCCATCCTGGCGTTTGTAGTTTATGCCGATCTACCCGAAGATAAGCCATGCAAGGACAAACTTGAAAGGACTCACGCATAATGCCTTTTTCTTCCTCGCACGTTGAGGCAACACTTTGATTGTCCGTGGAATATCTATTTCAAGTTGATCACACAGGTCACAGTTGCACCTTGCGACGACAGGTCGTCGCGCAGCACTATACGGTGAGGGAATGTGATGTCTCGATAGCTCTGTACTCTCTCCTGTCTGTTGCTGAAGAGATTGAGTCGATTGCGTCCGCGAGCGGTGAAGCCGTGAGATCACAGGACCATGTTGTACTGGACGAGCATCTGGTATAGTCCTGCCGTTGTACTTGTAATCATAGGAAGGCACCGATGGAGAAAGGGCTGCATGTGCACTGGAGGACGTCGGGGGAGGATGTTGGCGTATTAGCGCTCGGCGCGTTTTGGTAGCCGCTGGTCTAACCGATGTGAACTTAACACGACTTGATCACGTGAAGTTGAATGAACTCACAGCTTCATCTCGTCACTTAGTGAGTATTATTCTAGTGATGACAGTCATGCGACTTACTGGCATTAGCGACCAACCCAACCCAGACATATCTTCAGGTATTTGCGTCTGTGCAGGTTATCTTACGTCGGACTCAGAGGCAGACGCCGCAGCTGTCGAGTTCGTATCCAATTGTATGTCAATCCCACACTTTCTCACATTTACCAACGCTGTGAAAACTTCATCAGGATTCTAGTCAACAATGCCTCTTTTAGTTTAGTTTTTCCTTCTACGATTTGTACATACAACAGGGAAGTTCTGTGAGTAGAAACCTTGTAGTACCCCCATATCGAAGACCGCAACACAATCAGCAGAATTGACACCACATAGATGATGTACTCAAAGACTTCCGGACATACTGAGTCGCCCCATCCTGGTATGAGACGATATCTACAAATCTGTTAATGTAGACATTATGGTTCAGAACAGACCCGCGTGGAGTAGTAGTAACTCTGTTTACTTCTCGTTGATTAACGAAGAGCAAGATATCATATAGTTGGAGGTGTAGAATTTGGATTTGCAATGACTGCGTATTGTTTTAGATCGAACGATCCAGTCAAGGATCGTTCCGGAGACTGCTGGAACAGCTTACCTTGCGCATCTCAAATAGCAGACGTGTACGCCTATTTATGATTCAATACTCGTTTTTTTAGATGTGTGGATACTAATTGAGTATCGAATACCTGATCATCAAGAACAAGAACCGAGTGTTTGGTTATTAGTGAGCTGTCTGGTGTTACGAAGGCTACATGCGTTGTGTCTGTAGTAGATGCCAGGTCACAGAATAGAATAGTTCAGCGGCAAATAGAGAATTTTGAATATCCGAATTGCAAAGAGTGCCACGAGCAGACTCGCCGAGAAACGGTTCAATGTATGCGCACAACTCTGCCAAATCGAGAATCGTCCCCATAAGTGTAGGATATAAAAGCTGGTTGTCGTCCTACAGTGTTTCCCTATCCTCAGAAGCATCATTTGAGATCTCTCTCAGAAGACTCCATATCATCTCACACATAAATGCGTCTCTCCCTCCTTGCTGTTGTTGTCTCTTTGACAACATCTATGTTTGTTGGTGCATGTACGACAGAGTTTGACTATTGCAAACTAACATCCGATTGCTGCGATTCCTTGATTTGTGATCCGGTTGGGGTGAGTATGAGCAGGTCGCCGTGCAACCAGGATCCAATCACTCACCTACTCGCCTTAGCATACATGCACGCCAGGACTGTCAGAGTGGAAATAGTCGGTAGCCCGAGCGGGATGTCACGTCAGTGGGTCATTTTCTGCTTTCGCTTTGGTATCATGATTGATGGTGCAATATCCAGTTGGCGGTGACACAGCCAATCAGTACAGTTGTTTTTGAACGAATTTTCGTGTTGCTCGAGCAATATGATCCAGATGAATTTTACCATTGAATCACAGAAGGAAGACAGACAGACAAAACGGTGAAAGGGAAAGATAGACAGATATACTTACATAAATAACCCGACCACAAGGCAGAGCCTGCAATGGAGAAGAAATTTATGTAAGATGCCTGAGTGATGGTGGCATCATGCGTCTGAGCTGAGCTGATCGAATCCTCGCCTGGAACCCAATAGCGCATTGCTCCAACACTTGGGTTGATGATTTTGATGCAACGATTGCACCAGACGAAATTGCAAAGGTCTTCGTAGCAAGAGCGAGCGCTGTATATAGATATCGACATAAGACACATTATGCAAGATAAATATACCGCGAATAAGAAAGACGGCAGAACTTACGAGATGCAACGGTCCGCGACAAAGACTCGATGAGGTTCACAGAAAACTTCCACTGCGCCCGCTACCAAAACGCTCTGCGAGTCCTTTGACATCCCGATCGACGAACAGTCAAACTTTCAAAGGACACGTGCTGTGTGCTCCTGCGATGAAAAGAGCGGACCTTCAATGCATGATAGTTCCTCGTCTAGTTGTGGTTTAGCTCATGCGGCGAAGGCAAGCAATGGCGCAGTGGCCATGATTTTGACCTAAGTACAAGAATTGCACAAAAATATTGTAACTCTAACTTGAATACTTATTCCTCCGCTCATGTTTCGTTATTATTACGTAATAGAGAAAATTCGTACTCGCAAGTTGTACAGATGCTAATCTACTCGTGTTGGAGGTACCACTCAATCCTACACCATTTGTCTCACTTGCTCGTATTATAGCCTATTACAGCTTTGCTTCTCGCCTCAGCGAACAACATGCAGACACCCCACTCAGAATTCAATATCTCTGGCTCTGTTTCAGATATCATCGGTGCACTACAAACCAACGTAAGTGCCAAGTTTCTTGAATTAGAATTCGTGTCAGCCGAGAATAACAATCATCCATTCCAGCTCGCACGCTCGCAAGTGATTGTACGTCTGCTCCTTGGTCCATTTCGACATATCACATGTCATGTTACTGACGATAACTAGATTCCAGTCTTTGAAACTCCATACTCCAAATTCCCCAATACAGACCACTCTACCGTCGAGCTAAACCACAACTAGACGAGGAACTATCATACATTGAAGGTCCGCTCTTTTCATCACAGGAGCACGTTACCTGAGAATCCGCTCTTGATCCAAATTCAAACTCAGTTTTACCGCCTCATAGAGACCAGTCTACACAACAGATCTCCTGGTATTCAAACTTGGCTTTTTCCTTTGTCTGAAATGTCAATGGTCAGCAGGTTCAATTATTAGACTGAACCAACGGAGTTACTGAGTGATAACACAGGCATCGCGTTTCTTCTCCCTGATGCCGAGTATATTTACCTACACTATCGCCGAGGGCTCAGACGTTCCGTGAGTCTGGGAGAGTTCCTTCAATATCATTGCTTAAGATGGACTAGAAAGTTGCCTCCATCGTTGGTAGCACGTATTCGGCAGCAGGAATTGACATCCCTTATCGAAGAGCTTATTGATTGCAATCGGCCACATTCCTGTATCGCTTGTACAGGTGGCCATGGGATTGGAAAGTCGGTGCTCGTCCTCCAAGCAATCCGCGACCCATCTGTTTCCGCCACCTTTCGTCATCGTTGCTGGATCAATTGTCGCGCCCTCACCAACACATCAAACTTTCTTGAAATTTTGGCCAAGGAGATGGGCGTTCCTTGTACTGAGTTTTCCTCATCTGCGGGCGAAGTCCAGTTAGAGACACTAGTCGCTGCGATCCGACGGCTTTCTGTCGTACGTCGGGTTATCGTGCTCGATGATTTGGACCGCCTTTATGCCCTCGATAAATCATTCACAGATGCGGTCATCAAGTCACTCTCAAGCATTGATAAGCTCGTCCTTGTTTTGACTATCATTGGATGGACGTCCGATCCGCCCCACGAGATAGAGTATTTCTTGCAGCTGAAACCACTCTCTCCAGAGATGGCACGATATCTTTTCCAATCAGTTTACCCAGTTCCCCTCCAGCGAGACGCGCTGGACAAATTATTGGCACGTGTTAGGGGGATACCCCAATACATCATGATCCTTGCCGATCTCGTATACTGGAGTCGGCTTCAGCTCAAGGAGTTGGTCCAGATTGTTGACGACCCACAAAGCAATCTTTTGGGGATGCGAACTAATCACGATGTCAAATCTTTGGAAGAATCTATTCGTGCATATCCGCCAGAGGACAGGCTTGATCACCATGCACTCTATGTATTCCGTTTCCTTGCCTCGCTGCCCGGAGGCATATCACAAACCCAATTGCAGACACTGGTCGGATTACCCGTGGATACATTCGCCTCGGCTTGTAAACAGATATCAGCCTTAGCCTACTTGGACAGTGAGCCTGGTGACCATCTCATCCTATCAAGACCCCTCCGAGAATATGCCACCCGTACTTCTACATTAGATCCCCAAACCCAAGATATCTTCCTTAAACAGCTCATCGCGCTTATCGAAACAAAGGGAAGTCTTCGTCCCGGGACGCTCGACTTCCCTCAAAAGGTTCAGCAGTTCACGGCACAGAAGATCAATATTGAGAATCTTCTCTTCACCTTCCTCGACATCGACTCCCCCATTGCGGTCGAAGCTGCCTTACATTTTTTGAAGCCGCGATGTGCAATGAAGCCCTCTTTGAAACTGGCGGCCAAGGTTGTGGAAGTTGCAGAAAGGAAAACAATGCATCTCCTTCCTTACGCCCTCCAAACCTTGGGGGAAGCACAATACAACCATATGTTTGTAGGGGCTGCTGTACCACTTGCGAAAGCAGAGGCCCTCTTCAGCACCTCCAAGGACGATGCTAGTGTTGTAGGTGAGATGGAATGCCATGTTCTCCAGGCAGAGTATGCTGCTCGTGGCAATGTGAATGGGACTGAGAAAGAGTGGAAACAAGCGGCAGAGTACGCACTCATGCGCTTGTCAACTTTGAGCAGCGAAACTGGAAAGCGGGGCTATGCGCACAGTCTCCTGACACTTGCTCGATTGTCGGAAGGCGAAGAACAAGATCTACTGGTCGCGAAAGCTCATACTCTCTTCAAGGATTTGGAAGATGGATACGGGCTGATCCTTTGTGACTTCTATTCTCGAAGCATCAGCGCAAGTCGATGGCTAACTTGGCCCTTAAATTCGAGGTCTTCATGGACTTTGAAATGGCAGCGACATGCTATACGACTGCATTTCAGCTGCGTCATTCCGGGATGTAGAATATATCAAGGTCAATGGGATCAGGGAATTGATCCTCGAGACAGTCACCTGTCTACCCCAATTCCTCGATTGGCTGAAGAAAGCCATTGACCTTTATGAGCTTCTGGGACGGGATCTTGACGTTGCATTCTGCCAATACCATCTCGCCCAGCTTCTTCTACCTGCGAAGGCCATCGACCTATATTCCCAAGCCATTTACAAGTTCGCTCGCTCCGACTTTACCCATCACCGCGAGCGCAGCACCCTCGACCAGTGCTACTCACTGGTAGAGGCGAAGGAGTACTCCGCAGCCGTCCCAATCCTTGAAATGCTGGAATATCAGATACAATACTGTGGCAAGATCTTTCAGCTACGCTGTAAAGAGTTGCTTGTCGAGTGCCACTGCCGGTTGAATGCGAGGGGCCCGGCTCTTCAGGCTGTAAGAGAAACTATCAAGACCATGGAGGAGCTCGAGGCAAGTCCAGGACTGCAGAAGTACAAGCAGCTATTGATCACTCTGGATGGTACAAACACCCTGCCCTCGATTGCTCTCTGTGAAACGGTGCATGAGGGGCACGCTAGGCTTGTGGAAGTGGAGACGAACGTTTAAGGCTCAGAGTTTGCATCTAGTCATCGGTGTTGCCCGCTTAGTTATATTGTTCGATATAGTCCAGTGTACATGGCCAGAGCTTCGTACACCGCCAACTTGCCTACACCTGTTAGAACATCAGATTTTGTACATATGAATTCCCATGTGACTCCCATGTCGAAATCGTTCTAATGGCATATGGATCCAGGTATTTATGTAATGAGACCGTTTCAGTAACACTGGGATGTTTCGGATCCATGCGAGTAGATGGAGTGTTGAGTACCTGTGATGACTCCGAGCTACTAGATGTCCACGGGAGTTCGCGCCTTTTTGGCAAAACGGTTATTACTCTACATCGCACAAACAAACAAAAATAATTATTTGACAGTTCGATAGCGTGACATCGAAAGTACAACGTCTGCTAGTTTCTTTTTCGAAAATTGACGTGTTGAGTCCAGCGGAGAGTTACCGCGCAGAAAAGTGCATTTTCCCTAGAGTTCGCGCACTTCGTCACACTATGTCACACGTCTGCCGCAATGCCTTTTCACGCTCCGCAGAATTCGCACCGTTTAAATGTTGTGAAGTTGTGCATGTGTAAAGCATTTCGGTATTGCGGAGTTTTGATTACACAGTCTCTATGTAACGCTTTGGGCAGATTGTCACGTCTGGGGCTTATTTCTTTATCGCAGATGATCCTGACAAGCATGTGCCCCGAATAAATCTGTTTTAGTATTCTCTAATCATGTATATAACCATCTCACAATATTCCAGAATTATATGTGGAGATCTGACCTTTAGAGTGAGCCTTCTATGCCTCTCGCACTGATAAGTTGCCCATGGAACAAGATCTACTTCGATTTTCTTCAAAAAAAATATATGGGAGTGTGTATTATGTTTGGGCGAATCCAGATCTATCATGGATAAGGATTCTGTGCAGAATTGCGTGTGCTAGAGTCAATGCGCAGACTCTTGGGACACACGGACTCGTGGGACCATCTAGTAGCTCAGTTGCCAGACTTGCCTCGAACAAAAAGTCCGAACACCTCACGGCATTCACAGGGTTCAAAGACCTAGGACACTCCCGGAATGTTCGCTTCAGCTTGCTTTAAGGAACAGTTGACGGCATCGCCTACGTGGATATATACCTTAATATACCTTAACCACGCCCATCACCGCCTGATGCAATGGGGCTTACTGAAGAATGCAGCGGTGATGGTAAGCGGTTTATGGCGGGTGCGTTGAGAGGACATTGTGGGGTGATGTAACGAGAAGTAGCGCCCTATATACCAGAATTTTGGTGACCGAGGGAGCCGAGAAACATTTTATTCATTGTAGTTTTCGAGGTCCTTTGTGAAGTACGGAATGGTTCGGTGCAAAATCGGTGTTTATTGATGTTCGGACCTTTTGTTTGAGGCAAGTCTGGCAACCGAGCGGTGCGAGTAGATGATGCTGAATTGCACAGCCCTTCGGTTACAGCAAGTCATGTCCCCGCTAATCGCTACGCACAATCCTCTTCTTCCTCTCCTGGGTCGTTAGAATGGACCAGGCAGATCTCTCTCAATTACGCACTGAATTCACAAAGTTGGCCAATGACCTGGCCAGCTCCCGGCTGCGCGGAATCGACTTGGAAGATTTGAAGCTTCCAGAGGACTCTGAACTCGAACTTCGCCTCAAAAAAAGAGATAAATTCATGGCAAAAGTCAAGGCGTTCTTGGACAGTTGCGACGGATTCCTGCAGCCTCTCGCAGGCATGAGTCCGATCGCAGCTCCCTTGTATGGTGGCCTGAAGTGTATCGTCACAGTGAGCTGGTCCTTCGATAGCACGCCTACATCTTGACCCCACGTCCACAGATAGCTGCTGCCAAAGCGGAGATCCTAGATGGTAGCGTCTATATTAATCCACGTGGATCATGACTGATTACGGTGTCACAGAGGTTATTTACGGTTTAAACGACGTCTTGGATGGTCTCCCCCTAATCATCCGATCCGAGCGGACGACAAACCTTTCCGAGCAACGTCACGCAATCATCTCGGCTTTCAAGGCATTTATCGCCTTCATGCAAATTCTGAGGGACTATATAGGCGGTGAGTACTTGGGTGTCATCGTCCTATCGAGGCTTTATTGAACCTCGGATCTAGAAAAACACGAGTCAGTTATAACAAAGTGTATGTTTTTTTCTCAGTTTTATACGTGAACATGTGGCTAAGCAAAGACTTGGGTAGTCAAGAAGATTGCCAGGTCTCCGAATATACCAGGCAAGCTTCGGACTGCAAGAGAAGAGATGCGAGCGGCCCTTCATTCGGCACACTTCGGAACTTTCGTCGCTTATGTGGAGAATGAGCAACGATGGTATATTTGTAAGTAAAATTATTCCTTCAGGTATCTCCAATAATGATTGCCATTTTTCTTCCTTCCGTCTTTGATAGCGGAGCGAATACGAATCGTGAAACTCCTCCTTCATTGCACAAATTACAAAAATCACCTTGAGCTGTATCTGAATAAATCACGGTGCATTGAAAATCCCTGCGCCTGGAGCAAATCCCACCCATCTATTGCAAATTGGCTATCAATGGAAACGTCTCCGAAGTTGTTTATTTCGGGGAAGCCAGGCACAGGAAAATCTGTCTTGGCAGCTCACGTGATTGACACAATTCAGAAGGAGGATGCTAGTCACCGTGGAGTATTGCTTTACTACTTCTGTGGAGCGGATCCCGCAGCGGATCAGTATTCCGATGTACGACAAGAGGCTTCGTCAAAAGCAATCCTCATGACTTTATTGCGGCAAATTGTGTCGGTATGCCATCACAGCATAGCGGGTTTTGGCGAGGTGCTGGAGTATGTGGACTATGAGCGCAACGAGCTTTCAGAGAAGGGGCTGCGGACACGGATTGCAAATTTACTGGAGTCATTCGACACGGTCAGGTGCGCATGCTGTCGCCCTTATTGCTTACTCTTGCTTACTTCGTCTTTGAAGGATCATCATTGACGCCGTAGATTGTTGCGAAAACCGTGCATTTCAGCAGGACGGATTGATCCCATGGATACTTAACAACATGCCTGCGCATGCGTATATCCTTCTTACCGCATGCCGAAATCCGTATGTGACCAGTTTGCTCGATGGGCTGCCCACGATAGCTATGGGAAGTGACAGCACTACACAATCCGATCTTGAGGCGTACGCGCGTCACGTCACTCAACATTACATAGGGTCAGATGATCCTGATGAGGCTCATTTCGTCCAAAATCTTGTCGGGCGATCCGAGAATATGTTTCAGTACATATTATTAGTGAAGAACCTGACACAGCATCTTCATCTGTACAATCGAGAGACACGGTCCCAGCTCCTGAACGACACTCCGCTAGGCATCTTCAAAATGTACAAGTACTATCTGGCTGTCCAGCTTCAGCGATTCTCCGACTTTGACCAAACGCAACTTGAACGTGTCCTGCAGATCCTTTTGCAGCTCCTCACGTTTTCTCCAAGCCCCGTCACTCCATTAATATTCCTGCAGGCGTTGCGGTCATGTCCTTCAATCCAGGGGCTGGAACTTAACCCGGAAACAGATGGTCTTGCTATTGATCTCGCACAGAACGCTGCAGGCGTTCTATTCGATGTTCGAGTGACTTCCACAGGAGTACGACATTTGGTCGCAGTCCACAGCACACTTTCCGAATATTTTCTCGACCCTGATAACTATCAGAAATACAATCCAAATAATCTTAGCCCAGCCACGCAGGAAGCGCTAGTATCACTACACAATGCTGTTGGAGAGACAGGTCCGAAATCCCTGCTCGAGCTTTGCTGCAACGGGCTTCAAGATCCAGATTTTAACAGATTTCTCCATCAGTATCAGCACGCTGCTGATTTTTGTCGCCAAAATCTCGATGATACCTCAAGTAGAGATGTTCAGCCCGATATATCTCGACAGGAAAGCGATTGTGAAAGGCTCCAAGCGCAGCTTTGGCGGGATCCTGCGTTTTCGGTTTGCGACTCGCTGGCGCTTGAAGGAAGTTGGATGGACCGACAGTGGAACTCCCTAAGAGAAGATGGGGAATGGTTCAGGGAGCATTCGGATATTATGAAGGATTACGAGTCGTTAGATGAAGAGACTCTGGTCCCGCCTCTCCGCCTCCAAGTTTCCCGATGGCGAAATGTCGTTTTTCCCCGTATGAAAAAGCAATTGGAGCTCAGGCAAAACGCATTATCGGAGCTGCGAACCAGACATTTGAGTGCGTATGCGTTTAGGTAAGTTAGTTCAGGCTATCTTTACGATGAAATTGAAATAGGTTGCTCTGGATAGGAACACGCTCTTCTATCTACATCTGATGAATCAGAAAACAACAAGCCAGTATACGAGTTCTCCCTCGTTTGAGGGTCTCATCTTGCACTACCTGGACCAACTGGAAAACCTCCTGCCTGTATTGGTTTTGGTCCAAATCCTTCCGTTCTCTGAGTTTCTTGTTGATTCAACCTCCCCGACTGCAAAGTTAGCAACTATGATTTGCGGATTGGAGCAGCTCACCCGAGCGATCAGAGAATTTTTGTCGACACGAAAGTCGTATCCTCATCAGCTTTTAGGGGTGATACGATGCCTCTGGGCCACTGGGAGCGCCAACCTGGGCTCACTGTTTACTACGGAGGAAATTTGGGCCAGGGCGTACTACTCTGAGCTGATTATCCCAGGCCTCAACACCAATAGCATACCCGAAAAACTCATTCGACACACGCTGGAAAGAGTGCTGCTATACCTCGCTGACGCGGAACGTACCTGCTTCACTAACCAAACACAATTAACCGGCGTTGGGAATATTTGCTTCTGTATTCGTCAGCTGCGCCAGACGATTTCACATCACTTATTATTCCAAACATTCCACCCCGTTTCAACTTCCATACAGAAGGGAAGTCTGGTGCCCGAATTCGTCGATCGTGAACCGGGTTTTACAAACATTGCACTACTTCAGGATGCGGTGAGAGTCCGCACTCTGGATCAGGACAATCTGCAACCCGGCGGACCGAAAACATGGAGCATATTCCTCGGAGCCGTGTTCATTATTCTAGGATTCATTTCATCACATCACACCTGTTTCATCTTCAGCTTGCTTTCTGCCCCACCCAATACAACCGATGGTTTGATGCGACAGACCTCAGGCTGGTCTTCGGTACAACTTGTAGCATCCGCTGGCGTGATTGGATGCTTTTGTGATAGGGTGCGGGCGGGCGCAGTGACGATCGGCACAATACCCTATGCATTAGGCGTCCTTTTGGTGCTAACATCTCCGCAATTTGCATCCTCATCGCTCGTCAGATACATTGACGCTATATCCACTGACCATCTGATGTTTCTTTCTGTGGTCCCCCTTTTGCTCTTCTCTTCCCATGAACAGAGCTTCTGGGCCGCGATCGAAAATACTGCGGTGCTCTATGTAGTTATTCGTCTGCTGGCCTTTGCGGTCGACAAGAGCAGTATGAAGAGGAAGCGTAGAGACCTGGTTCGAATTAGCCGGAAGTACAACAGAAGGAATGAAGAGCAAGGAGAGGTGTACAAATTGTAAAGGTATTTTGTAAGTATTCGCAGCGCTCCACTCTTTCCAATTCGGATATTCAAATTTCTCTATTTGCTGCTGGACTATTTTATTCTGTGACCTGGCATCTACTACATACACAACGCATGTAGCCTTCGTAACACCAGACAGCTCACTAATAACCGAACACTCGGTTCTTGTTCTTGATGATCAATTAGTATCCACACATCTCAACAAACGAGTATAGAATCATAAATAGGCGTACACGTCTGCTATTGAGACGCGCAAGGTAAGCTGTTCCAGCAGTCTCCGGGACGATCCTACTGGATCGTTACATCTAAAACAACGACAAGCTTCTACTCACAGAACTTCCCTGTTGTATGTACAAATCGTAGAAGGAAAAATTAAATTAAAAGAGGCATTGTTGACTAGAATCCTGATGAAGTTTTCACAGCGTTAGTAAATGAGAGAAAGTATGGGATTGACATACAATTGGATACGAACTCGACAGCTGCGGCGTCTGCCTCTGAGTCCGACGTAAGATAACCTGCACAGACGCAAGTACCTGAAGATATGTCTGGGTTGGGTTGGTCGCTAATGCCAGTAAGTCGCATGACTGTTATTGCTAGAATACTACTCACTAAGTGACGAGATGAAGGCCTGGTAGTTACTATTTGGTCAGAATAATACGAGCGAATTGTTAATTACTACGCACAGAGGACATGGCTCCAAGAAACTCTCCACCCCTTATGATAACGCCCCCACTACCTTGGAAGTCACTACAGCTTGCAAACAATACCTGATATCTGATCGTCAAACAGACTTCGAGTTGAGGAGCGTATTTCACTTACCACATGAGCTTGCGGGTACTTTGTAAGAGCTCGAGAGTTCGCAGCATGCTGTTTTAGGTGATCACTGGGTTGATACTAGGCAAATGATTAGACAGTCGCGAATACATCAACTCGCATCTTTGGACTGACGATGTATGGCAAATCTGTGCACGAGACAGATCAAGAAAGAAACACAACATAGTAATATAACAGCTTCATACCAAGGACGGATCCAGAATAACACGACTAGTATTCATGATACAATCTGTTCAACTTGAAATTGGCAACTAAAACTTACATCAAATAACGCCTGTTGATAAAAAAAAATTGAAGTTGGTTGACACATAAAGCCGCTCACAAACTCACATTAAGGCAGCAGCCAGCGGGTAGGGGTTTGACCTGTGTAAAAGTTAGTATCAACCTCACAGTTCGCGTTCCCAGTACTTGCCATCACGTCGTATAAGTCCTGTTTGAGAATTGACATCGCATATAATCAAAGCAAACAAGTATACAAACGCACCTCGCTCACAATCTCACCAGCGCGTTCCCAGTCAAGTGGATGGATAGCTTGTTTGCGCATCAGCACTCTTCAAAGTTGGAACTATCGTGACTGTTACCCTTCTCAAATCCATCTACACGGTGACCATCCACACGGCGACCATCCGAGTCGACGATTCGTCCTCCATGTCCAGAGTCTGGATACATCATCAATCACTTATTCAAATTACGGATACGTGACTCACAGTGAAAGAATAAGCAATCTCCAGGCTGGGCGTCTTTCACTAACCATCGCAACGCGCTAAGGATGTTCCGTCTCGTCGGCATGTACTTCAGATTGTATGGCTCATCTGTGAGCACCATGATGTCCTCTTTCGCGTAATTCCAGAAGGCTGTTACATGGTTGTGTTGTTCAATACTGAGTGAATAAGATAAAATGGATATGGACAGACATTTTAGAAACTCTGCAATGTTCCAAGCATCATTCACACAGCCACGAAGCTCTCTATCCTGGCGTTTGTAGTTTATGCCGATCTACCCGAAGATAAGCCATGTAGGACAAACTTGAAAGGACTCACGCATAATGCCTTCTTCTTCCTCGCACGTGGAGGCAACACTTTGATTGTCTGTGGAATATCTATTTCAAGTTGATCACACAGATCACAGTTGCACCTTGCGACGACAGGTCGTCGCGCAGCACTATACGGTGAGGGAATATGATGTCTCGATAGCTCTGTACTCTCTCCTGTCTGCTGCTGAAGAGATTGAGTCGATTGCGTCCGCGAGCGGTGAAGCCGTGAGATCACAGGACCATGTTGTACTGGCCGAGCATCTGGTGTAGTCCTCCCGTTGTACTTGGAATCATAGGAAGGCACCAATGGAGGAAGGGCTGCATGTGCACTGGAGGACGTCGGGGGAGGATGTTGGCGTATTAGCGCTCGGCGCGTTTTGGTAGCCGCTGGTCTAACCGTGACCGATGTGAACTTAACACGACTTGATCACGTGAAGTTGAATGAACTTACTTTGGAGATGGCGATCGCCTCATGTGAACGACTGCAGGGATGGACGAAGTGTATGAACTCCTTGATCTGTCTAGCCTTTCGAAACGAGTCAATACTAGGCAGGCACATCATGCATTGACCGTCACATTACCCCTTGTTTCGGCGACTATCAAAATCATGAGACTACGTTAGCGAGGACATAACGATCAGGAGGTAAACATACGAAATCAGTTTGGCAGGAGGGACAGACATACGCGCTTATCGATGAGAGCAGTTTATGACTACTATCTACGCTTCAGAGTGTGTGGGCAAGTAGCTAGTGAAACCCTTGAGAATCTACCCATGCGTTTTATTAGGGTCAAGATTATCAAGCTCCCGCCCTCATAGCGCTAGATGATTCTGTCAAATTGACTACAACACACTATCACTAGGTGATATATACCAGTCTCGGCAAGCTTCGTTTGACAGGTGCATCGCAAAAAAGACGGATAGGAGGAAGGCGAAGCGCTGACTTTGCAAAACGTTACGGAGATTATATGGGGCTTGCGATGAAATAATCACTCTCGCGACCGAAGAGGCGCGATAAGATACAGAAGGAGCGTGACTTGTGCCAATCTGACCAATCATCGCTGTGTAAATGTTAGATGAAGGACATGTGAACCGCATCCAGGCTTCGGGGAGACCAACCCCGGGTTCTTTGTTGATCGATGAGCACTGTCCTCAGCAATTGGACCCAATCATTTCGTACTTACGAGCGGCTCGTGACGGAACGGTGTCAAAAAGATCAAATACGCACGATCATGTTAACATATAAGGAGCGATTACAACCCAATCCAATCTCCAAGCGTTCAGATATAGAAAGGCAACGTTATATCCTGTGCAATATCAGTGGCTATAGTCTGGATAAGAATACGCTGACAAACGAGAGGGTTTGAGCAAGAAAACTGAGGGTGTTGTCTGGCGTCCGGTAAGATTTCACGGATGAACGCGCGTATTTGTTCGAATCTGTTTTGGAAAGTGAGAGCCTGCGTGCAAGCTGAGCAAAGAAATATTAGCCAGTTGGGCTAGCAATGGAAGTTTGATACGGACAGAAAACGTGTATGAAAGCCTTCAAGGGAAGATTAGAAGGAACTAATGTTTTGGTAGTTTTACGCACAAAGGTCATGAGTCCGCCAATAGGTCGACCAGGCATTGTGATGCTTTCACTCTCTTCGCAATCCTCACAACCCGAGAAACAAACCTGTCCGATATTGACTGAGAAGCACGATCAACTGGCAGAAACCGATGCTCACAACTTGTGCCTGGGAGTGCTTCCTGATGCGAGCGCCTGGCGTAACGCCATCGACGAACGTGCGCTGTCTAGAGTCATACTATGGAGACGATCAGACAAAATCACAGAGGAAACTGCTTCTCTCACAAGATAAGGCAAATCTAACTATCATTCAGAATTCTGCAGCGATGAAGTTGATTTAGAGCTCACCAAGCACCGTGCCGGAATGGCACGACTGGAGTCATTCAGTACTTGGAGTTACGGTATCAAGGGTTTTGCTTACGTCGAAAAGCGCCTGTAAAGCTGAGTTATTTAGTGATTTCGCGTCATCGATCATTCTCCGTACCGTCAACCGTGAGCCAGCTGCCAGTGGCTTCACCTGTGTGCGTTCTATCAGCGACCATTTGAAATACCATGTGAAATATGAGGTGTTCTTTCCGTCATGATACTGACCATGATTTCGTGTATTTCCTAAAGAGCTAATCAGCGTTATCCTTTGATTAAGAGCGTAAACATCTGACATCGTCGCTGATCACACCCGACTGTTGATAGTCGACTGGACATATGACTTTGCGAATGTTAACAGTATTTTTTCTAATCGGGTTAGATCCTACATTCATCATAACCATCAACTTCGTCGCCATCTAGGTCACGGACTTGGCCCCCATGGCCCGAAACTGCGTAAGCAACCGCGTGATTCAGAAGACCAACAACGCCATCAAGGACAGTACGTACAATAAAAGAACATGGAATCACCGGCCCTTGAATAAGATGCCAGGCGGTGCATTTCAAGTAAGATATTCTGCCTAGTTGGTGGGGGGCGATAACCATCATCAATTAATTGTACAATATCTGTGGGATCGTATTCCCATTGATCTGAAAGGGAGTCATAGAGTCATTATTGAATTACTAACGACTGCACGTACTAATAAGGCATGGTAAGATATTATGGATGTCGTTGTTGCACCCTCTTAGTTCACAGCGTTGACCTTTGTAATTAATTCCAATCTTATACAGTTTCAGATATATCGTTGGTTTGCGAACCTACGATGTATCACTCACCAATAATGCCCGCTTTCTTCCGGGCGATGGTGGACTAGGTTGCGTGAACATCGGAATATAAAAAGAAGCTTCTGACATGTGCTGGTTCAAATACGGCGCTCCAGAAGATCGAGGGCACCTAGAGAACCGGGCGAGGTGGTGGTGACCCTCCAGTGTGTTTTCTTCTTGTTGGATCCTCGACCGCTCCCATGAAACAGACATCCATCGACGTTTGCATGTGATGATGTGGTCGCGGTGATCCTGACGAAGGTCAGGCGCAGCAGGGAAAGAATGAAGAACGGTTTCGACGATCTTGGGTAACATGGTGGAATTGGAACGAATCAAAAGAGTAACTGGACGATGTAGGATCAGTGATGGCTTCATTGCAAGCTTTATAACTTGATGCAACCGAACTTATTTTGCTCTCACGTCAAGATCGATAGAGCGGAGCGTCGCACTCGCGCGAGTTGGCTAACGGCAATGTGGGCGAAGAGCTTGTCGTTGCAAACAATACAAAGTATAAGGTGCACGACTAGAACGATTTCTGCCATCATATTTGCACGAGGGTCAGTGGTCACCATAGTTAGGGTCCAGGGACTTGAAACGGACGCTTGTCGAATACTAAAGCCTTTGACAACGGTGGCATAACAACAGTGATCCTGTGAACCGTCACGTAGGTATTAGTTAACTTGGGAATACATCACAAGATATGCGGTACGTACTTACAACGCTGAAGCGCTGAAGATTGTGTAGAGCTGCAGAATTTACATACCCAACGTTGTTACCGTGATCCGTTTTTCAAGCAACCATGTAGACTGGTCGGTCGTCGAATATGATAAGACTTGTGTGTATTACATAATGCGTAAATTTAAAGAGCAAACAGTTATAAATAATCGTAGTACCTGCCTGCCTGCGCGAGGGAATACGTTGGTATTATAGAAGTCGTAAACGGGCAATCCCATATCGTCCCATGACTTGTTGCCCTAAAATCTCAAAACCCCATGTCCGAGTCCACCTACCACCATGGATGACAGTCTCCACCGTCCCACCAGTAAACCTTGTCTGCATCGCCCACGACAAGCACAGATCTTGCCATCCATGCACCATCATACACCTTTTCGATCCACCATTGGAGCACGGGGTGGCGCATAAGCCACTTGAAGTAGAAATAAAATCTGACATGATACATTAGCCAATATTCTGATAATGTAGCATGCGACAAACCTCCAGTCGTAAGCGTTGATCACCCTTGGGTTGAGATATATGTTCTGCAGATTGAACTGTCGCCTCATATCATATGGGAGTAGGAAACTTTCTGACGAAAAGCATTCCTCTGGCGCAGATGCGCGGAACCGTATTGGAGGTGTCAGAGCAGGACTCGGACCCCGCATCGAGGTATTGTGTGCTGCTGGATGGGTTGCCGGCAATTCGTATGGCAGAGGATCGTTGGAAAGCGTGCGGTTAGAACGTAGGGTTATCGGAAGAAGAGGATCTGCATTGAAGACAACGATGCCGTTCCAGCAGGTGAATACGGGTACAGGAGACTCGGTATGCATTGCTTTATAATCAGCTTCGTCGAAGAAATATGGCCATCTAGATGCCAAACAAACTGAATTAGACGTTGTGAAGATAGAATTCGCAACTCACATTGCACTGGCTAGTTTTGCCTGTCGATCTCGAAGAACCCACATATCATATGCACTTTTAGCACGATTAGAATCACGGATGTGCCGTAGCAGTCAAGATGGTGCTTACCCAAAATGTCCCATGTCTAGGCCACATGCCATGTCGTAATCCCCGTTGTTCGTTTCCAACAATTCGACGAAGCTCTCGGGCTCGATAAATATGTCATTCGAGAACACAACCCTATCATACCCTCCTACTATCAGGGGCTCGATTACGCGATTACGAGTAGCGGCTAGGAATTCAATGCGGTTGTTTCCGCGCATATCGTCAGGCTTTGGTACTGCTTTATCTCTCGTGAGTATGCGCCGCGACACACCCAAAAGGGCCAGGTCCGCATCTAGTGCGTCAAGGAGCTGCGGAGATTCATCGGTGCTGTGACTCTCAACGATAGAGACGAACACGTTATCTGGACCAAGATAGTGAATGACTTTGATAAGGGTATCGTGCCAGTACGGGATGACATATTCGTTATTGTAGAACATCGCAGCAATGAAGATTTTCTCTGAAGCGGGATAACTTAAAGCTGCGTTCAATTTTACGAGTTTGGAGGAGCTTACCTTGCTTTCCGTAGCCTTGTTTTCGAGGGTGTGCAACAGCCTCCTGAATAGAATCCCTGTACCGTACATCTCCAGGGTGCTCGTAATGGACTCCGACCCATGTGCTCACACAAAGCAGGACGAAATATGCGAAAAGCTTTATCTTCCACAGTTTGGGATGGGGCGCCAGACGCGGAGTAGGAGACGTTGGTCTAGAGAATGAGCGCACACTAGCACCTTCTTCCGAGTTTTCCATGAGCGCAATTTCTTCCTCGGCGTTAAAAAGTTCACGTCCGCCGGTGGAGCTATCTCGATAGAACATACTGTACCCTTCGTCGGAAGGGTCCCCCGTTCCAAACGCCTTACTCCATCGAGCGATTAACAGGGAAAGTAGGAGCCGATAAGCCAAGAGACGGAGTATTTGGATGAAGGCAAAGGTGGGTACGACGAGGACGAGGAGGAGGATGAATCTCCAACTTGAAGGAAAAGCAGGTTGCCATGTATAGTTTTCTGCAAAAAACTTGTCGGAAAAGCGTTGCTCAGTTATGGTGTAAAGGGATATAAGAATGCAGAGTGAGACAAGACCAGGAATGCGAATAACGGCGAGAACGATGCGACAGATGGCATGGAGAACAGCCTTCGGCGTTATGGACATGCGTAAAAACAGAGTTTTCTGGGGGAAATGAAGCCGGCGCTCAGTAAACCGAGGCGAATGGAGACGAAGTCGGAAGGGAAGAGGAAATTGGCTAAATCGTGGTTCATCATATAATCAGCTAGAAGGTTGATGTATGTCGCCGAACCAACCGAAAGAAGGCAAACCTGTTCGTTAAATTTATCAGCCGCAGCACCGCGGCAGCAGATTATCGTGTGCTACTTTGGGTCAATTTAAGAGTTTTCTCTGTGGGCTAGAGATACTGCACACACGTCGTACAGCCAACGTGAACGATGGTCGTCGTGTAGTTCTCGCACTATTACTTGTCGATGTGCATCATCAGCCCAGTCTGTAACTCGAAGGCCCAAAAATAGAACAAAGGCTAGCTAAACCCGCATCGCATAATAGAAGCTGTTGGTATAGCATACTACGAGATCACAAGTTGATGGCTACTATCATGCACTTACTTACTGCAGGGTGGAAAACACATTCATGAGCGCTTGATATGCATGAGCCGGCTGGTGACTCCTTCATTCTCACATGCCGATCACGGAGATTCAACAATGCAATTGCGCAGATAGGCTAGAAAAAAGAGTACAAATTGTCGACGCGAACAACGGCAGGAATATCCAGCCCGCATTATTGACAAGCAGAAGACGTATTGAGATGGAGCAGAGGCAAATATTATGGTAACCGGTCGCGGAAAGAAGAAAGTCGACGCTTGGGAAACCATCATTTAGGGCCGGAGTGCATTTTCCAATCCCGCAGTCTTCCGCAGTCTGACCGACTGCAGACAGTAGCCTATAAGATATCTGCTAAGGTCGTGACAACACTTGAGCTTGCGTACGATCTAGAGCACACTCAGTTAGCTTTTCTGAGGATCCAGCGTTAGTTTGATAATTTCATCTCATTGACATGTGACTCATCATCATATAGATCGCCGTTGAACGACAATGCCCTTCAAACAAGGACATTAGTACTTGCATTATTCGGCAGTGCCTGCGCTGAGTTGAATTCGGTGACTGGTAGTGCTTTCTGAGTGAGTCCATCCGAGTCAGTGCGCGGGCTTCACGGCCCCTGAGCGCGCCTCCGAGCGACTTCCAAAACAAGACGGGTTTAGGCAGCTGGCCTAGTCCGGTCAAATAAAGGCACTATTCTTGCTCAGATGCTCTTTTGTCCGAGTCAGCCCTTTCCCTGTCAAACCTCCCTCTCCAGGTCTTCTTGGGTTTCCTCCTCACTGTAAGTTTCCCCAAGCATTCACTAAGACTATATAAGCTTTGTGCTGCAATGTGCTCACCGTGATCTCTGTCATGCCAGGCTGTCCTGCATTCCTCTTCTTCCCGCGTTTTAAGTCGTATACCCAAGTCAACACAATGATGTGGGATCTGCGCGGCAACGACGCCGCCCAAGATCGGCGACGTTCTCCAAATCCTAGATTTCCAATGCCATCGTGAGTTATCATACGCTTGTTCTCCATCGATCTCAATAGACAAGGGTGATCCTATAGCCCTGGAATTCCGCCAGCGGCGTACGCAACGATCTGCATGATACAGCAAGTCGTTACTGATAAAGATTGATTATCACAGAGAACTTCATCGATCCCATGATCCATTCCCCAAGCCATTTGTACCGCTCGGTCTGCCCGAAGTTCCGCGATCAGCGTCACCAAAGTATATTTTTCTCAGCTTTTCTGCAATGAATGTGTTGACGAGTTCACATTATATTTCCCCACAGTCCCCGGTAAGCTTCAAATCAAATTTCATGTTCATATGGTACTTATTCAAATTTCCGCTTTATTACTTCATTGTTCACAGCATGTATTCACGTGAGAATCTCCCTTCGCTTATTCATGAGGGCTTTCCTTCTCGCGGGCGCCCACATCCCCCACCAATCCCGCATGCAACGCGACCGCCCCCGTCTCCCTATATGTCTCGACCTCCACCTCACCCGTTAATGTCTCGTCGTTCAACACCTCCTCCACCCATGCCCGTTCCGCAATTTGTTTCGAAGTTATCAAATGTCCAACCGTCATCCAAAAATAATCACACTCACACTCACACCCAAAGTCAATCTCACAGACACGGACATCACCAACATTCTCATCCGACTTCTGCCCCAACTCAGACTATTCGTCGCACCACCTCGCAGCAGCTCCGTTTCGCACCACCCACACAGCCTTCATCCGCAAGCAGTACGCGAAATTTGCACCGCTCACGTTCTTCACAACATCTACGTCCGCCAACGCCACACTCAGGTCCTTCAGGTCACCGTCACCGATCGCGCGTAAACTCGGCAAGTAGTGCACATCAGCCTATAATTCATCCTCAGCAGCAGGTGCAGCCACATGTTCACCAACAGGTCGTGCATCATAACGGTCATGTTCATTTCCAATATTCGAAATGCACCGGGCGGAAGAAAGCACTTTGCGTGAGTGAAGATATAGTACTAATTGAAAATTCGAGTCGAATCCTTTTTTTAGATTGGAATCAACTACAAAGGTCAGCGACGCGAGCTTCGGGGCTGTGTCAACGATGCACACAATGTAAAGCGGTTTTTAACATGTACGTTTGTTCGTCGACCGTTGCGGTGTCGATACTCATACCTTCTCCTAGCCAATTGGGGCTACAAAGATGGCGATATTGTAATGTTGGTCGACGACACCGATAATTTGAGGCAAATGCCAACAAGGAAAAACATTCTCGATGCGATGCGTTGGCTTGTGAATGACGCTCATCCTCATGATGCGTTATTTTTCCACTGTAGGTTATCTTTTCGAACCTTCGGATATAATATCCTCATTGTTGTCTAGACTCGGGTCACGGAGGACAGGTTCCGGATCAGGATGGGGACGAAGTTGATGGACTTGATGAAGGTAAAGGGACACTTCTTTCTCTTTAGAACATCGTTAGATTTCATCATGCACAGTTATATACCCTGTCGACTACAAGAAAGCCGGAATGATTGTTGATGACGTGAGTCCTTTTTATTTTCAACCTGTTTATGCTTATAACTCCAATGCAGGAAATGCACCGTATCATGGTACACTTGTCGCACGATAGGAGGAACGCACTGATCTGATAGATTCCACAGGTCAAATCGTTGCCAACAGGCTGCCGTCTGACTGTAAGTGATAACAAGTAACCCTTGCTGTTCGGAACTAATAGAACCCCATCCATCCAGGCTGTCTTTGACGTGAGGTCGTTTCATAATGTGCCGGAATCTGAAAAATCTCATAGATTCCCCTAGTCCTGTCACTCCGGAACGGCACTGGGTAAGTACGTTATTTCGTAACGATAAAAGCTGACTGAAAGTCCACCAGATTTGCCATACATCGTGAGCACGATACCTGCTTCAGTCAGATCGGGACTGATCATCTTACAGTATCATTCGAATGGGCGCCTCAAGGGAAACCACATCGCTCGTCAGGCTCAAGCAGAGAAGGCCACAAATGCTGACGTGGTAAGTGATGTCCTGCCGTTATGTGCTGTGCTTCTACCGCTTGTTTCTATCTAGATATCATTTGCTGGTTGTCGTGATGATCAAACCAGTGCTGACACAACGCAGGGTGGCATGGCTGTTGGGGCTATGAGCTACGTGAGCGACATCTTCTCTCCACCTCTTTGTAGCTGACAGACACGGACAGGCATTCGTTACATCTTTAAGTTGGTCGGGAGTTCTATGCCTTGTTGCGTGAGACTGACTTAGTGCACAGCAAAGCAGCCAGTACAAAGTTACCAGGAACTGCTCAAGTCTGTTAGGGCCATTTTGAAGAATCATTATCAACAGAAACCGCAACTGTCAAGCTCGCACTACATCGTAAGTACCTGTAGTTTGTAGTGTGGTGGATTCAGATTAACACCGCCTTTTCAGGATACTAATCTATGCTTCATAATATAGTGTGAGCGGTTTTGAGCATCATTGTCGTGCTGCGGTGTTCGTTATCATATAATTAACTTAGTGTTCTACGTGTCAGACAATTTATGTATTAGTCTTAGTCTCCAGTTGACGAGACATGTATGTCTAGTTCCAAGCGGTGAAAACGCACCGAGGTGTGATGGATATGAAATCTACCAAGGGGAATCTTGAATAATAACTCTACGGGTGACAGAAGTTTAGGCGGCATTAAGCAGAATCTACGCACAACGCCAGTGGTTACATGACAAGATGAAGAAAATATAGAGTACCAGGTCTGATTGAAGCTGGCGTCATCCAAGGTAGACTCGTGACCGGCCCGTCTAAGGAATGTAAGGGTATCAGTGAACTGAATGGTGCGCTTCACAAGCTTCAGAGCCCATGAGGTGGTGTAAAGAAGAGATAAAAAATCACGCAGTCGTTTGTAGCCACCCTTCCTGAGGAAGAGTTCACATAGGCAGGATGGCGGGTGTGTCGGCAGCATCTACGGCTGGCACACTGGCAGGAGGTACGAGGCAGCTGCCGCATTGCAAACACGTGACAAAATATAATTTAAGCTCCACTCGAGTCAGCCACCCCAGACTCTGGCCCCAGACTGGCCAATTTAATCTCTGACATTCACAAACGACCCGGACAAGACATAGATGCAGAAAAGAGGAGAAGAAGGCACTGCGCAAAACAGAAACCCCGCCAGGTACTCCCCTCCGCGCGAAATATTAGCCCAAGGTCGACAGGTGCACTCAGTTATTTTGTCATGACTGTTTCTTGGGTATCTCACACTTAAATCATACAGCGTTATGCTGCAGCGGGTGCTCCTTGGAGTGAGCACTCCTTGATACGTGATGAAGACCCTCGAAACCCCACCAGGTACTCCCCTCCGCGTGAAACATTAGCCCAAGGTCGACAGGTGCGCTCAGTTATTTTGTCATGACTGTTTCTTGGGTATCTCACTTAAATCTACAGCGTTATGCTGCAGCGGGTGCTCCTTGGAGTGAGCACTCTTTGATACATGATGAAGACCCTCGAAACCCCACCAGGTACTCCCCTCCGCGTGAAACATTAGCCCAAGGTCGACAGGTGCGCTCAGTTATTTTGTCATGACTGTTTCTTGGGTATCTCACTTAAATCTACAGCGTTATGCTGCAGCGGGTGTTCCTTGGAGTGAGCACTCCTTGATACATGATGAAGACCCTCGAAACCCCACCAGGTACTCCCCTCCGCGCGAAACATTAGCCCAAGGTCGACAGGTGCGCTCAGTTATTTTGTCATGACTGTTTCTTGGGTATCTCACACTTAAATCTACAGCGTTATGCTGCAGCGGGTGCTCCTGGGAGTGAGCACTCCTTGATACGTGATGAAGACCCTCGAAACCCCGCCAGGTACTACACCCCGCCCGAAATATGCGCGTGGGGTCGAAATGTGCGCTCAGTTATTTTGTCATGACTGTTTCTTGGGTATCTCACACTTAAATCTACAGCGTTATGCTGCAGCGGGTGCTCCTGGGAGTGAGCACTCATTGATACGTGATGAAGACGCTCCTCCACAGGATCCCAATACGCAACAGCAACATCAACTAGTAACAGCTCAGGTAGACACCGGCGAACATGGAGGCGGCCTGTCCTGTGCTGCTGCTGCTGGTAGAAGCATTGGTGAATGTCCATGAGTATTTCGGTTTTATCGTTCATTTTGTCATGATATCCACATTGGCTTGAAGCGGTACTTTATCGATAAGCATCAACATCTTTTAGCTCATTAAAGTCTTCGCCGGCATCATTTACACAGCATCTCGTATCAGCCCTGCTATTCTTACCTAGAAAATTTGCGTTATCGAGAACATTTCTGGACAGTTTCTGAATACTCTTCGTGTGACATCTAGACGTGATATGAACTGGCCACCAGCTGCTCAGACGATAAAAACTGACTGAAAGTCCACTACCAGATTTGCCATACATCGTGAGCACGATACCTGCTTCAGTCAGATCGGGACTGATCATCTTACAGTATCATTCGAATGGGCGCCTCAAGGGAAACCACATCACTCGTCAGGCTCAAGCAGAGAAGGCCACAAATGCTGATGTAGTAAGTGACGTCCTGCCGTTATGTGCTGTGTGCTTCTACCGCTTGTTTCTATCTAGATATCATTTGCTGGTTGTCGTGATGATCAAACCAGTGCTGACACAACGCAGGGTGGCATGGCTGTTGGGGCTATGAGCTACGTGAGCGACATCTTCTCTCCACCTCTTTGTAGCTGACAGACACGGACAGGCATTCGTTACATCTTTAAGTTGGTCGGGAGTTCTATGCCTTGTTGCGTGAGACTGACTTAGTGCACAGCAAAGCAGCCAGTACAAAGTTACCAGGAACTGCTCAAGTCTGTTAGGGCCATTTTAAAGAATCATTATCAACAGAAACCGCAACTGTCGAGCTCGCACTACATCGTAAGTACCTGTAGTTTGTAGTGTGGTGGATTCAGATTAACACCGCCTTTTTAGGATACTAATCTACGCTTCATCCTCTGGTGTGTGAGCGGTTTTGAGCATTATTATCATGCTGCGGGTGTTCGTTATCATATGAACTAACTTAGTGTTCTACGTGTCAGAAAATTTATGTATTAGTCTTAGTCTCTGGTTGACGAGACATGTATGTTTAGTTCCAAGCGGTGAAAACGCACCGAGGTGTGTGATGGATATGAAATCTACTAAGGGGGATCTTGAATAATAACTCTACGGGCGACAGAAGTTTATGCGGTATTACGCAGAACCTACGCACGACGCCGGTGGTTACATGAAAAGACGAAGAAAATGTAGAGTACCAGGTCTCATCGAAGCCGGCGTCATCCAAGGTAGACTTGTGACCGGCCCGTCTAAGGAAAATAAGGGTATCAGTGAACTGAATAGTGCGCTCCGCAAGCTTCAGAGCCCATGAGGTGGTGTAAAGAAGGGGAATGAAAAATCGCGCAGTCGTTTGTACAGTAGTCACCCTTTCTGAGTATAGAAGATAAAAGCGCGGTGATGGTTGGGCTGTGGATGAAGTCGTGCAGCAGGTCACGCAGACAGGTGAGAGCATTCAGGTCGACGCCGCGTAGCCTACATCGGAGCTCCTCTGGACAGGTCACGGTTGTTGACTGCAATGAGAGAAAGGTGGTGAAGTTCATCTGAACATGACTTCGGCTTTGATGTTGAACATTCAAAACTCTCTGCTTCTCAAGACGAGAATTGGTTTGGACACTATCAACGCGGCCCGGGGATGTTGATTATAGCAATATCGCGCAGCCAACTTCATCAAGCGACTCATGTATATATACATCCCTGTTCCTGTCAGTCATGCAATCATGCAATCACTTGTCACTGGTAGTGCTTTGCTTGGGAGTGCTGCTACGCGCTATGCACAGCGTACAAATTCGATATGTGTACTATGCACCCGCTCAAATATTATTCCACTCCTTGACGACAAGGTACATGACAGAGTAATGTACATCGAACTGCCTCAAAATTTGAAGCGGACCAAGGTACTAAGTACTTGTAGCACAGCCATTGACATGCGGGCGTAGCTATTTTGACGCGGTCGTGACGCGGCACTAACGTTGACGCGGCCACTGACGCGCCATTCCTATATGTTCTACATTCGACTTCCAGATCAACTTGGATAAGTTCATTCCTTTGTTATTTTATTGCCATAGAACATGTACAACTAGGTACATAAGCCAATGACTATTTTCTTTTCCTCCCTCTCTGGACCCTTCGAGCCTATGGAGCACATCGACGTTTAACGGGCGGACATTCTTCAGCCGGCGGAGATGGAACTACAGCTTCGGATAACTCGTCTGCAGACTCCAAAGATGTAGCATCAGAGTTATCACTGAATACTTTGGGAAGGTGAGCAGCTACCTTGTGATACCACCAGCTTACACTACTTGACTAGGGAAGACTATCGCTCAAGGGCACGGCGAAGGCGATTATGATGAAATCAACAAATGGTTGAGGAATATAATCAGCATACTGGCACAACGCAGATGCAGAATGCATCACGCATGCATCAAACATGCCAGTGGTGGGAGATTGAATCATCGTTGGCTCCGGCCCTTCAAGCTGAACGTTCTGAACGTTTGAACTTTGTATTCATGGGCGTCAGTCTGATCCGAGGACATCCAGGAAACGTCATTTCTCATTTCCACTGGCGCCAATCGCGTAACAGCGAGGACCGAAACCACATGTTTATCAACGTTCATTAGGGGTGCTCAAAGTTGAACGCCCAAGCCCGTTGAACGCCTAACGCCCAGCCTCGTGACCAAGACCCTGCACGCTGGGTCTTTTGCCAAGTCTGTATAGGCCTCACACTGAACGCAGAACTGCACGCAGACTGGCCAATTCCACGACTTTCCCTTGCACAGTCCTCCGAACTTCTGATAGAGTCTATGCTATTTAGTACTTACCAACCTTTTTCTCCATGCTCTATCATTCGGTTGCTCACATAGGATACAACTTGCGTGCATGCGATGTCAAGGTTTCACGAGGTGTGTTTTTTGTCATCGTCGTAGTTCAAGGCGCCTAACAAGACTGGTCTATCGTGACGCTGAACAGGCTGACGAGGCACAGCGAGGACACTACAATGACGGGCAAAACACTTACACGGACCCATTCCCTACCGCGCAAGTCCAATTGATCCCATTTCCTCCCTCCCAATCACAATATTTGTATCAACAACAACAACCTCCACCGCAGCCACCAACAGAATACCTCACATCACATGTCTGTCGTGACCCTTTAGACAACTCACAACCCACTCCACGTCCACAGTCACAGTCTGGTCTAGATGGTGAGATGGTAGAGCGTAAGCACAATGATTCGGGCGATATGCCACTGCTGCTACACAATGGTCCCTATGTAGCATCAGAAATGCCTGCAGGTTACCAGGAGGCTAACAATTACTATGGACACATACCACAGTACACACCCCGACGGTACAACACCATCAAGAAGGTGAAGTAAGTATTCCTTGTTTAACCTTATTTTTTCTATCCCTTACAGCGTACAGACTCTGCCACGGTAACCTCGTGCTCGACTCTGCAGTACCAACAAAATTACTGGATAGGTGCGCAATGCGCAATGAACACGAGTTCACCCACATGCGGTACTCTGCAGCCACATGCGACCCGAATGATTTTAAGGATTCTGGGTTCACCCTCCGCCAGGCGCATTACGATCCTCCACGGAGGACGGAGCTTTTCATCGTCGTGACAATGTACAATGAAGATGAGAAGCTATTCTGTCGTTCAATGAGTGGCGTCATCAAGAATATCGCTCATTTGTGCAAACGAGATCGGAGCAAAACGTGGGGGAAAGAGAGTTGGAAGAAGGTTGTAGTCTGTATTGTTAGTGATGGGCGATCGAAGATCAATTCCCGGACGCTGAGTGTTATTGCTGCTATGGGCGCATATCAAGATGGCATTGCGAAGGTACGTTTCAGTTTTGATAAGTGGTCACCTTATTGATGATAGACAAGAGTATCGTCAACGGAAGACCCGTCGTGGCACACATATACGAGTATACCACGCAACGTTTGTCTCACCGTCATTTGTCTGTATTTATTCTTAACCCGATCACAGTGCTGGTGTCTCCTTCAATGGAAATCGAAGTCGCCGACACCCTCGTACAAATTATCTTCTGCCTTAAGGAGAAGAACCAAAAGAAGATTAACTCCCATCGCTGGTTCTTCAACGCCTTCGGTCCAATACTACAGCCCAATGTGTGCGTTCTCCTTGATGTTGGTACTATGCCCGGCCCCACCTCAATCTACCACCTATGGAAAGCCTTCGACATCAATCCGAACGTTGGCGGTGCATGTGGCGAAATCGTCGCTTTGAAGGGCAAGTACGGACAATATCTTCTCAACCCACTCGTCGCAGCACAGAATTTCGAATATAAAATGTCGAATATTTTCGATAAGCCACTAGAGAGCGTGTTCGGGTATATCACCGTGCTGCCTGGCGCGTTTAGCGCATATAGGTATATCGCCCTGCAGAATGACCAGATGGGGGAGGGCCCACTGCAGAAGTACTTTTTGGGTGAGAAGATGCATGGTGCAGGTGAAAATATCTTCACAGCGAACATGTATCTTGCTGAGGATCGGGTGAGTGCTAAGTCGAATAAGATGATGTCTCAACTGACACCTGTTCAGATATTATGCTGGGAGCTTGTCTCAAAGCGCGGGGAATCGTGGATCCTACACTATGTCAAGTCTGCCTACACTGTGACTGATGTTCCCGACCAGGTCTATCCAAGCGTTCAAGTCCTAGTGTGGTGCATGCTGACCTTTCCAACAGATCCCTGAGTTAATTTCTCAAAGACGTCGCTGGTTTAACGGCTCTTTCTTTGTCGCCATACACTCTGCCGTTCATTTTTATTACCTCTATCGCTCATCGCATTCACTCATGCGCAAGTTCTGGATTCACATCGAGATGTTTTATCAGCTGTACAGCCTCATATTTGCCTGGTTTGCCCTTGTAAGCTTCCTTCTGTACCAATTCTGTACCATTCTCTATACTAACATCGTGACGCTCATGTGCATTAGGGTCACTACTATATTGCCTTCATCATTCTCTCCCAAGCGCTCGAGTTCTACGTGCCTCGAATCCACATCCTTAACCTCATTCTCAACTACTTTTATCTCGGGTTGCTCATCATGTGCTTCTTCCTTTCGCTCGGCAATCGGCCGCAAGGCTCAAAACGGGGCTACACCCTCGCCTTCATCGGGTTTGGCATCATCACGATTTATATGACTGTCTCGGCGTCGTTGCTTGCATACAAGACCATAGAAAGTGTCGCACATAGTGAAGGACGAGAAATCCAAGCTAGCGATCTATTCCTGAATTCGATCTTTAGAGATGTCGTGCTCTCGTTGGCGGCGACGCTGGGGCTGTATTCTTTGGCCTCGTTGATCTTCGTGAGTCATTGTTTGCTCTTTATCTTGCTTGTTATATATTGATGATCGTCGAAGTTTGAGCCATGGCATATGATCACGTCCTTTGCCCAATACGTCCTCATGGCATCGTCATATACTGCGGTCTTGAACGTCTATGCAGTACGTCTCTCTTTAGCACAGGTCCCAGTCGTTCACATAGTCTCAGTTTGCCAACGTTCATGATGTCTCATGGGGAACGAAGGGCGACAACAAGGTTTCCACTGATCTCGGTGTCGTCAGCCTGGGCAAGGGAGCCAATGAAGTCGAGATAGCAGTCACGGCTGAGACTGATATCAATGCAGCGTATGAATATGCTATCCATGTTCTGTCCTTGAAACCACCCAAGGTGGATTCCAAGGGTGATCCGGCAACGCAGCAAGACGATTATTATAAGACATCACGGACAAACGTATTACTGGTTTGGACTTTGAGCAACGTGAGTGACCATTAAATTGGTTCGTATTAGAGACACTTTTATTGACATCGTCGGTTTACAGGGTCTTCTAGCTGCTATCATAATGTGAGCATTGGGAGACGTTGCAGGTCTATCATATGCGGACGGCGCAATAGCGCAAAGCGCCTCCGTCTCATTTTCAATTTTTTTTTCGTGCACTTCCTTCCATATTTTATACAGACACATCTATCTCATGTTGTAGCCCTCGAAATTCTGCACTCCCCGGACGAAAACTTGCATCAAAATAATTGAGTTTGTGTTGTATAGCACCTTGTGCCAAAAGTTCCCTTTTCCCACACCTTCAAGTTCTCGACTTCTTTCTGGCCTGCCCTCCATTCATTACGATCTCCGGGCACCTCGACACATTCTGGACTTGTCAAGTCGCTCAAAAAGATGATCCCGCGCGAAAATCGCGCCGCCCGCATGTCTCGTTATGGCCCGAACTTTGAGCTTGGTTGCCTTACTGGGAGGAGGAGGCACAGGTAAGCTCATAACTTTTTTTCAACGCATTCTCTGACCTCAACTATCTATCATCCTAATATACAGTACCCTGCGATGTCCTGCGATGTCCCCGCGCCAAAATCTCGCTGCCCGCGCGTTTTGTTCTCAACTTATGGGCCGACCTTTGTTCTTGTTGGCAAACCAGGAGGAGGAGGGCAGGTGAGCTTGTATCTTTTTTTCATGTTCCTTTCTCGTGCCAATATGTTCAGATCTCACATTAGGTACTCTAATACACTCCCCGCACCACTCATCTCTCCGACCGCACGCCTCATCCATCTGTTATGGCCTGATCGTCATCCTGGGTCAGCTACAGGGAGGAGGTGACTTGGGTGACTTATATCTTTTCCCCTGGCATCCAGCTGCTGCAAACTGACCATTTTTATACCTAGGGACTACCTACGTGAAGAATTTCGGTCCCCTTCGATTGTCTACAGCCCCACAGTACTTGCTTTGCCCCCTCCGCCTCTTGACTCTCGCGCACCCATGTGGACTCGCTCCCAATTGTTTTCGGCCCTCATTCACGCCAATACATCGACCTCTCGCATTGGGGACTGCTTCTGCATGGGTCCGAAGGTGTTTTTCCAAGTAGGGTGGGTCTTTTGTTGTCATTTCGTCCTTCAGGTACTTAAGATCAGCGCATATGACTCGCATTCACCAACCCGCTCGTCGACAAGATGATTTCTTCATATTTCGACAATTCCGCCCTTGCCTTCGACGATATGAAAGACGTATCACAAATTTTTATTTCCGACAAAGCGGGGAAGAATCACAACGTACGAGAATCGAACTGCATCGCGCGCACGCATGATACGATCCAGTGCCTATCAGATCTTCCTATATCGCTCTCCTTCTCAACCTCAATGTAGTCCTGGACCCGCAGCTTAACGTCACATTTCCAAAGACGCACCCAGCCAAGAGGGTGGAATTCTACTCGGGCGATTGAGCATATGTTGCAGATGGTCAGATGTGCGTCCCTTGGCGAGAGCTTTTGGGGGGCTCTGATAAAAATCTTGTTTCCTGTGGATGGACTATCCTTGACTCGGACCGCTTCTTTGTTTTTTTTCATGAAAAATCCTGTTAGCATGCGTGTACGCTATTATCTCCCTGATAGTGACTTTTGATCACGTTCCTTTGTATTGGATGGGTCGCGACCCTCCATTTAGCTAGGAGGGGCGTCATGACTTTCGGATTGAATGCTGTGCCACTGTTGCGTCTGATGCGACTGACGCGTCTGACGCGACATTGGGTTACTTACCACAGACACTGACGCGACTGACGCGTCCGACGCGACATTGGGTTACTTACCACAGACACTGACGCGACTGACGCGTTCGACGCGACGTCGCGCGGTAGTATGCCCCATGCTACTCGGGACATCTATGTAGGACAAAGGAGAGTTGTTGACCACAATTCCGCCTGTCAGAACAGAGATGTCGAAGTTAAAACGAAGAGGATGCGCTCATTTTGATGGAGATCAGTCTGAGGACGGAAGTGTGGATTTCAGCTTTTGTTTAGACTGGACATTTGAGGAAGTTGATGCTTACATTCGAAGATTATTTCCCAAAGTCTTTGAATACCTTGACTCTGTGAAGGTTGGTGATGTCAAAGGGAAGGCTACGGACAATGGGGCATCTGAATGGGTGTTAATTTCGAAAGAGAACCGCAGGCTCAGTGTCGCACCTGAGCCCTTCCCAACTGGCAAACACCTCGAACGGTACAAAGGCAGAAGCAATGCCCCACTTCAACAGACAAATATCTTTATTGGTGAGTCGTTGATAAATTCGTCCTAGATTTTCTAATCAGTGTATGTATAATGATAGGTATCCGGAAATTTGTACCTGAGCATACTTATGCACACTGGGACCCAGACATGGTTATTATTGATATAGCTGATGACAGCGATGACGGTGATGACGGCGATGATGGCGATGACGGCGACCATAAACAAGAGTATGGGCTTAAAATCGAAGACGACATATTCACTCAAGTTCCAAAGATTGGTTAGTCTCACGTGTACAGTCTCGAGCGCTGTGTTTAAAATTCATTGTGTTACTTACTCAAGTGCGTCCAAAACGTCCAATGCAGCGTGGAACCCGTCAAGAACCAGCTCAGAAGAAATTGCGTGGAGGTAAGGACTACCATTTAATTGTATGGGAACACTACTGACACATAATATTTAAAATCAGCTCATGGACAGCCCATTGCATCGAAAACGGGGAACAAGTCGGGAAGATCCTCAGGCCAAGTTAAACGTAAGTGTCGAGTTTTTATTTTCTGGCAGAAGTCAAATGTCTAACACTTGGAATTTATAGTTTTCTGTCCAAGTGGCTCTGATACGGATGACAGTCTCAACACCCTACCAGCTAGTCTGAAAGGGATGTCAATCTCACCACGGGTTCAGAAGCGTGCTCCACGCCATAATCCAATGATGCCATTGATCAAGGACGAAGAAAACCACCAGGATATCGACCTGCGAGACTTCGCAAAGGCTCAGAATCATCATGTGCCCGGCGTACCTAATCGACCACTCTTCCAGCCTCTCGTTTCGGTCCAACCTACGCTGAATGACCTGTTGCGCGGCCACCCAGACGTCAATGATCCATTGTCACATCCGTTCCACAACCCCTGGACGAAGGACTACTTCATTGGCTCTATCAAACTTTGGCTTTAATTTTGTGCGAAAGTCTCATCATCCCATTTAATTCCCCTTACTTCTTTGAATCCTATGTCATTTGCCCTTTAATCTTCCTCACTCCTTTTAGTCCTTCATTCTAACCATAATTTTGTAACTACCTTTAGGTTAAGCTTGCGTTATGGTATATCAAAGGCCCTCATTTTGCGCAAATATGACATGTGGATATTTGCGCAAATATGCAGATGTCATATTTGTGTGGAACACTTGCAATCTCATTTTGCACAAATATGACATTTGGATATTTGCGCAAATATGCACATATCATATTTGCGCAAATATGCAGATGTCATATTTGTGTGGAACACTTGCAACCTCATCTTGCACAAATATGACATTTGGATATTTGCGCAAATATGATATGTGGATATTTGCGCAAATATGCACATGTCATATTTGTGCAAGATGAGATTGCAAGTGTTCCACACAAATATGACATCTGCATATTTGCGCAAATATGATATGTGCATATTTGCGCAAATATGCACATGTCATATTTGTGTGGAACACTTGCAACCTCATCTTGCACAAATATGACATGTGCATATTTGCGCAAATATCCACATATCATATTTGCGCAAATATCCACATGTCATATTTGTGTGGAACACTTGCAACCTCATCTTGCACAAATATGACATGTGCATATTTGCGCAAATATCCACATATCATATTTGCGCAAATATCCACATGTCATATTTGTGTGGAACACTTGCAATCTCATCTTGCACAAATATGACATGTGCATATTTGCGCAAATATCCAAATGTCATATTTGTGTGGAACACTTGCAACCTCATATTTGCGCAAATATCCACATGTCATATTTGTGTGGAACACTTGCAACCTCATATTTGCGCAAATATCCACATGTCATATTTGCGTGGAACTCTTGCAATCTCATCTTGCGCAAATATGACATGTGCATATTTGTGTGGAACACTTGCAATCTCATCTTGCACAAATATGACATGTGCATATTTGCGCAAATATCCAAATGTCATATTTGTGTGGAACACTTGCAACCTCATATTTGCGCAAATATCCACATGTCATATTTGCGTGGAACTTTTGCAATCTCATTTTGCGCAAATATGACATGTGCATATTTGTGTGGAACTCTTGCAATCTCATCTTGCACAAATATGCACATATCATATTTGCGTGGAACTCTTGCAATCTCATCTTGCACAAATATGCACATATCATATTTGCGCAAATATGCACATGTCATATTTGCATGGAACTCTTGCAATCTCATTTTGCGCAAATATGCACATGTCATATTTGTGTAGAGCACTTGTAATCTTATCTTGTGTAAATATGTACATGTTATATTTGTGTGGATTTATGTACCCTCATCTTGTGCAAATATAAACTTCTTATATTTGCATGGAATCACCATATAGTGTAAATCTGAGTATATTATTATACATAGTTGAGATCACCATATGTAGTCTTTGTATACCAAAGTCAGTCAGGTCAGTCATGACACCCAGAGTGCCTGCACTAGCTTGCAACCCCAAACCCTACTTTGATTAGCTTCTCTACAGGTTATGCACATGGAGATAGTGGCTTTCAGAATCATTATATCTAAGAAGTAAAGTACGACGGTTTTCGGAAATGCATGGGCGCTCGCATGGCTTTCCTGTATTTTGCTAAAGGCCACATGGGAGCGCTTAGCTCGCTTAACCTCTTTTTGGAAATCTCGCGTGGTTTTGTCACGTGTTTTCGAGCGCCGACTCAAACAGCGTCGCCTGATGGGAACTTAGCATGACGTTGGTAACTGTATATGTACATGACATTAAATAATGAAAAATGATGTGTTTGAGCAGGGCAAGGCAGATATGTGATTAGATTTGAGTGTTTTCCTTACT